TTGAATGTATTTCTGTAGTTAAAATACAGTTTTCCTTAGTGCTGTGGTTATGCAGCCAAGTTTACTCTGACGTATTGATTCGGATGACCTGCCTCAGGGGTCGCGCAGCGGGTCGCCGGGGCTGGCTGGCCTCCAGGCGTGCGGGTCCGGTTCCTTTTCCGAGCCCCAGCTGGCGGGTCGGTGTGACTGGTGTGACTGACGGGGAGACAGGGACGAAGGTGGAGAGTAACGGGGAACAGCTGCTGCTCGGTGGCAGGGGCGGCGTCTTAGCACCGCACCGGGGAATACGGGTCTAACCCAGACGAGGCACGGCGGCCCCGAGTCCGGGGCACTAGGGGGCTGCTCTGCCGAGGGGCCCGGACAGGACCCCCAGCTCTCCAGCGCGGGCTGCGGCCGGTCACGCTCTCAGGCCTCGGTTTCCCCAGGCGTGAGGGGGGCTCCTCAGCAAAACTGTACAGGTCCAGGTCGTGCAGGAAGCACCCGGCACAGTGCCTGCTGCACAGAGCGTCCCTGCGAAATGGCAGCTGCGCATTTTACCTGTTAATAATTTTATAATAAGTTTAATAATCTATATGAAGGTCAATAACTAACAAGTATATCCCAGGATTATAGATACAAGTACTGGACATGAAAACTAGGGCCTGGCTTCTGCTTTATTTTCCCCCCAAATGTGTAAAACTGTATGTCACATGCTTGTAAGTGCTTTTCCCCTAACACTGTATCTTTGTTCACCCCAAGGGACATCTTTGGAGAAGACTGTGTCAGTGTGAAAGACGGTGCCGTCCTCGGCGTCACAGTGGACGGCAAGACGGCTAATGTGAACTTGGAGACTCGGGTACGTAGCTCTTGTGCACCTTCAGACGTTTAGGAAATAAAGTGAAGGCAAAAAAGAACCGGTAAGCCCACGCCTAACAAGTTATTTTTGCATTTTGACATTTTCTTCCAGTTTTTTTCCTATTTTTTTATTACAGGCTGTGTTTTGTGTTATACGAGGGTAGGCAAAAGTAAGTTTATAGTTGTGAGCACACAAAACAGTTTACTCTTGTGTTATTTATTAATCATTGTAGTATTTTCCATATGAACAACGGTAACCTACACTCGCCCCACTCTGTCTGTAGTTTCCCATTCTTGCTTTTCACTTCCCATTCTCAGTGTGTTCAGGCTGCTGCCCAGCCCGCACTCCCCAGGGGTTGACCATCCACTGATTCCCTTTTTCGTAACACACCCCACTCCCCTCAGTTCTCCCCGCCTTTGGCTTCCAGGGCTTTCCAGACTTTTCAGGGAGCCGCTCTTCTGTTTGCGCCAGCAAGAGCCAGGTGGCTTTTCCAAGCGCCTCACTGCGCGAGAGCGGCCCTGCCCTGGTCCCGGGCCAGCGGCCTGCGCAGCCGTCCCGCCAGCGTGTGTGAGCGAGCAGGTTCCTTGCAGAGCTGTTCTGAAGATCAGAACAGTTGCACTAAATGAAAAGCATAGGGTAGAAATTTCTTTTGTATGTCCTTTGACTCTCTAGGTGCTTTGAGAAAACACTAAATTTATTTTACCTTGGTTGAAAAGTAAGCTAAGACCATAAGCAAGTAATCCACTAGAGAGGAAACAGATAGCCAATGAACATAAGAAACTAAGGTTCAGCTCCACTAATTAGAAGAAATACAAATGTGAAATGTCACTATTTGCTTATCATTTTGGCACACAATAAAAAGAGGTCGCTACGAAAGTTGGTGGTGGAGGAACAGGAAACAAGTCATTCCTAGGTGCCGTGTGGGTGGGGGCGAGGCTGTGAGTTGGGGGGTGCGTGCTTTCTCCAGGGCGGTTCTGAAATCCACGTCAGAACCCCGAAAAGTGCACGCACCTTTATCCACAAGTCACCTTACTGGGTTTAACCAAAGAAGGTAACTAGACATTGAGCAAAGGTGTATACAGGAATGTCTGTTTTAGCGTTGGTTACACCATGAGCAAAACTGTAAGCGACCCAGACGCCCACGAGCAGGACACGGTGGGCACCACGTGCAGACAGGCGGCGTGCGGGGCGCTGGTGCACGGACCGCTGGGCTCGCAGCCACGCGGGGTGCCAGCTGGTCCCCCACATAGGGGGCGGGGCGGGGGGCAGCCAGGAGAATGCACTTTCCCAGTTTGTGATAAAGAAATCTACATATCGCTCGAAGTCTGGAAGGTCAGACACTGAAAGGTCAGCGGTAGTTCTCATTGGGTCATAGAATTAAGGGTGTTTTTCTTTCCTCAGTTTTTCCTCAGTATGAGGAATATTTACAACAGGATAAAATACTTAAACAGAACCAAGTAGTTTACAGTTGAGAAGTGACTAGAAGGTTATTAGTGAGTCTAATCAGATTGAATGCCGAACGTTGAGTAGAGACCACATCCGTTGCTGAGTCACCTGTGTTGCAGACTGAATTCCTTGACCTCATTTACAAGATCGAAATGTGGGCTTTGAAGTAAATGTAGTTCATTAGACTTCCCATTCGTTCTTTTTTCCCCGAAATTAACCTCTAATTCGGGGTCCCTGTGCTGCCGGGTGGGCCTGCGGCTCGGCGGCAACCTCCCCCGCCGGCCCGCCCGCCCGGTGACCGCGCGGCGCGCTCTCCCCCGCAGACGGCCGAGTGCGAGGAGGGCAGCGAGGACGACGAGTCCCTGCGGGAGATGGTGGAGCTGGCGGCGCAGAGGCTGTACGAGGCCCTCACGCCGGTGCCCTGAGCGTCGGCGGCCGGGGCGCGTGCGCCCCCTTCTGGCGCTGACCGTGAGACGCACTAGTTTCTCTGGGCCTCCTCGCTTCCGACAGGGATGGCTTTTATCCCAACAGCCTGGACATCGCTAAATCACCCGCTGATGTGTCCGTTACTTTGGAACTGCTGAATCTACTGTTATTTTGGAATTTATTGATTCCACTTCTAGACATGTATGCAAGCTCCCAATAAAGCCTTAAAAATCTCAGAGCAACCAAACCAGAATGGCCTATCGTACTTTTTAAAGAAAATACATGAAACTTGTATTTCCATATGCCTGTTCTGAATCTAAATGACTAATTCGAGATTATCATTTAAAGTTTTAGGCCCCTTTTCTATTTCTTCTCTCCCAATACTCTTGCCAAGTTCTTAATTTCTGCATTTGTAAAATTATGACTTGGGGTCCAGTAATACTCTAACAGCTACATATTCAGTCCAGAGATAATGTAATTTTTATGACTCAGGTTTAAGGGTGTGCAGGTGTCAGTTGTCGGGCTGTGTCACAGGCAGACTCACCAACGACAGTGTCCTGAGGTGCACGTGACGCAGCCTGCAGATGACTGGCCGGCGCGTCCGGGGCTGTTACTGAGGGAGCAGGGCGACCCTGCTACGGGCTAACCTGGCGTCTGTAGCAGTGAAAAGCTCGGATCGTCCCTAGCAGGGGACAGGCATGTGCACAGCCTCACCAGGGAGCTGCTGCCGCTCCCTGGCCACTGACTGCCATCGACACTGGGTAGGCCCATCTTGCTGCACCTCCTGGTGGCCTACAACCTACAACTGTCGACCTCGCCTGCCCTGCACTCGACAAACATCAATGCATGAATCTGACTTTATATGTGGAACAAAACGCATTTATTTCTGTAAAATAGCCTGCTTATTTTGTCTTTGGCCCAAACTGAGGGTCTAAGGGTCCCGTAATTTGGTTTTAATTTATTACACTTGGCTGCACGATGGAGTCACCTGGGGAGCACTGAACACCACAGATGCCCACGTGTCTCCCTCAGGAGCCCAGGTGTTTGGTCTGGAGGGAGGGCCCTTCAGCAGCAGCTCCCCCGGTGGTTCAAGCTGCAGCCAGGGAACCACCAGCGGAAAGACTGGCTTGTCCTGCATCACCTACCTGCCTCCCAGCTCCCACCTGCCTCTGGCCAGACGGCTGCTCGGCCCGGCCCCGCCCCATGAGAGGTAGGCCCCTTCCCTGCTATGCGCTGCTCCCTTGGCCCTTCTGGTTCTCACTTTCAGCACAGGCAGTTCAAGATAAACTGGCTCCTCCTCGTGCACAGGACCCTTCACTGCATGGCGGAGGTGACAGGGCCTCCCCTGAGGCTCTGACTAGCACCCTGAGACCAGTTCTAGCAAGAACCCTACTGAGTTGGGCTGTGCAAAGTCCCCCACCCGACGGTACGGAGAGCCTCTGCTCCGGCTCCTGCCACCCGCCCTCCGCGTCTCACCTGCAGGTGCGCCGCCAGTGAGAACCCTGCTGAGCCGGTTCAGCGAAGGATTTCCCTCCCTCAGCGGCCTTAGGGCCACCTGCCCCGCGCTGTGGACCCCACTGCGTCATGTTCAGGGCTGCGCAGAGTCCCTCTGCGTCCCCAGAGCAAGGCGCCCGGGCAGTGTCCTCTGTGAGTGGGTCTTCTGCCCTCCAGTCCAGCAAGTCCCCTACCTTTTTTAACAGGGGCGAAAACCTTCAGTAAGTGGTGGAGTGAGTTCTTTGATTGTGTGACGAATGAGCCCCTTGGCGATACGGAACACTGGCGTCCGCCGCCCCCGAGCTGCGCTCCCGGGGCCCTTCGGCAAAGGGCTGCGTCAGGGCCGCGTGTGAACCTGCAAGTCACCGCCGTCAGAAGCCCGGCGGCAGGCGGGGTGGGGGGCTTCCACGGCGAGGCCCTCCTGCCCTTCCGCCTCCTCGCCCACTGCCAACAGCTGAAACGCTGGAAGCGGCCTGCACCGAGGGCGTGGGGGAGCAGGTGAGACCCTCGGGTCTGGCCTCGCGTCTCGGGGGGTCGGTGAGCGCCCCGAGAGCAGGGCGCGGCCGCGCCTAACGACTCGGGATGAACGAGCCACGGCGAACGAATGCAGGGGGCGAGCTTTTGTAGACGGGGAACATGCGCTTTGCAAGAGGCAACAGCTACAGCGGGTCTTAGAAACGTCCAGTAGCCGCCAGGGGAGCCTTGCTGCTGGAGCCCGGGGATCCCGACGCTCCGGGGCTGGAGACAAGGCGGACGCCCGACTGCGCAGGCGCCGCTCGCCCCGCCTCCGCCCGGATATCCGGCCTGCTCCGCCTCCTGGCCCAGGGCTATGGCGCTGTGCGAGGGGTTAGGCTCCGGGAACTCTCTGCTCTGGCCTCGGGTGCTTCTCTTCGGAGACTCCATCACCCAGGTACCGCCGCCCGGCCCCGGTCCGCTCTTACCGGGCGGGTCTCGCAGGCGTCCTCGGCCACGCACCCTTCCAGAGCCACGGGCCCGGCGTCCTCGGCTACGGCCGCGTTTCCGGCGTGTGTTACTCGCCGCCCCACCCCCGGCTGCCAAGGAGCCCGAGCAGTTGGTACAGTTCACGGCGACCTCAGTAGGCGTCGCGTCCCGGCGCCGACGGCGCCCGTGGGAAGAGCCGGCATGGCTCCCGCTGCTCATTTCCGGCCCCAGGGCGATGGGGGTGTGCCCGGCGGCACGGGGCTCCAGGCTCCTCCAGCCTCGGAGGACGGAGCCCGAGTCCGCCCTCTCCCGCGAGCCCCTCCGTGGGGGTTAGGAAGCGTCCAGGGCCGCGGTCTCGGTATTTGCCTCGTCGGTGGCGGTTCTTTCCCACCGCCCGAGCCTGACTCGCTCCCGCGCCGTCGAAGCGCAGCGCCTTCCGAGCGGAGGCCAGGGAGCCGGCCCCTCGGCCACGTTGGGGGCAACAGGTTGAACCCGAGTAAAATGCCTCCGAGAATAAAATATAAAATACATAGGTCATGTTTTTATCCAAGGTCATTTCAGCTCACTTTAAGGGGAAAAAAATGGAAATACACATTCTTAAGAGGGACTACATTTTTTAAAGTTTCTCTCCCGTGGTTTTATCTTTTTTATTATTTTTCTAACATTCAGGCATAACTTCCCAAACCCATTTTTTGTGTGTATGCCGATCATCGGTAACATTACTTTCAGCACCTGGGCGGTAAAGGCTTCCCACCCTGAGTCCACCCTGAGCTGTGTAGTGACATCGACCCTTTCAACGGCGGAGAGGGAGCAGCGCGCGGCTCCCCTTCCTGGCCGACCTGCAGCCGACCTGCCCCCTCGTGCAGAGGCTTCTCCGCAGCGCCTCTGGATGAGGGCGACAGCGCCGGGCTCCTCCCCAGCCCCGCAGCGGACTCAGGTCCCGTCGACGGGGCCGGAACCGCCTTCCACTGCCAGAGCGTGGCAGGGCCGCCCTCCCTAAGCGGCCTCGGGCAAAGCGCGGGGCGGGGGGTGGGGGGTGCCGGGCACAGACGAAAATGCCCTGGTCACGTGGATAAGTACTAACGGGCTGTTCTTTCTTCAGTTTTCTTTCCAGCAGGGTGGATGGGGCGCGTCCCTGGCTGACAGGCTGGTCAGGTGAGCGCAGTCCCGCCTGGTCCCCGCGTGCTTGGTGGTGGGTGGCGAGTGACTGCACCTCAGGAGGAGCACCCCGACCCCCGCCGGCCTCGCTGCCCTGTCCTAGTCTGAATGGGGGCGGGGGCGGGGGCGGGGGCGGGGGCGGGGGCGGGGGCAGGGGCAGGGGGCGGGGGCAGGCCGCCGGGCTCAGGAACGGGAACTTGCCCACGTTGTGAAAGCAAACTCCGTAAGTTGTGGGAATTATGTATGAAGGGTTTGGATCCCAGAAAACACAGTTCTTCACCTCGGAAAGGCGTCAAGTTCTTTTTCAGTTACTGTGCGGGGTGTGGCTTCAATGATTGGTGAGTTCAACTGGAAGAAAGCGGAATATATTCTTAACCCAAAGTTTGGAGAGAGGTTTTTTTCCCCTCCAAAATTCTTCATAAAGTACATCAGAAATAGTGAAGATTTTGGTATCTTGTTGAATTTATGTGCTAAGGAATTCATTAACGGGGAAACAGTGTTCCAATTCAAGCAGTGCAAGTAGGTATTTAGGAGTATTTTCCACATTAAAAACAGTAGACACAAGAACCTGTGCTCAGGGCGTCCGTGGGCCGATCGGCAGGAGCCTTGTCCCCTTTGGGAGACGTAAGCTGCATGTGCTGCCAGCTTTTCGCTCCTTGATGATTCTCTCCACCAGGGTAACTGACACACCAAGAAAGTTTATTTCTAAATGTGTTTTAAAAAGTGTCGCGTTGCTGGTGCCGCCACAAATTGACGAGGCAGCAGACTGAATGCGATGAGCAGTGGAGGGCTTGGCGGACGCGCCTAACGGAGCCCCGAGCGGAGGGAAAGCATCGTATTTATTAGCGGGCTTAATACAAAGAACGCACGCTGATGTGAGAACCGCCTGACCTCATTGATATTTATCAAGACCGCAGGGACATACATTCCTTACATTAATCTAGTTACTAAAGCCAGTTCTTAAGAACCCTCAAGGGAGTACCATACAGAGAGAACACTGTCTCTTGGTAGCATTGTACCTTCCCTGCCGGCCAGTTTGCTGGTCAAGCGAGGATATGCAGACCATAGGCTCCTCCATGCAGGCAACTCCCCTGGCTAGATGCATCCATCTTCCACAAAAAAGTCGTCTTCCTTTCATTTTTATCCCCTAAGCTAGAAAATGAAAGCTTTTTCTATTCCTAAATGCGTTCTCTACTTAAGCGGACGTAACCTAAAAACGTGACAGCGTCACTTTGTGCCTCGGCTCGCTCCCCTGTAAAGTCTGGAGGGGAGGGGACGCCACAGCTAACTGGCGAGTGCTCGCCGGGGGCCGGGCCGCGTGGACTGCTGCCCCGTTTACAGCTGCGCCACAGCGCGGAGCCGTGTCCTCGTTCTTCCCGCCCACGTCGGAGCTGAGAGCACGCGGCGGGGGCGTAAAATAACAAGGCCCCGCAGCTGAGACGGGGCAGGTGGCTCGGCTCCGGGCCCCCTGGTGGGGCCAGGGCCTCTGCTTTTGGGCCAGGAGGCTGAGTCAGCTCACCTGGGCTGGCTTAGGCGCCTGCCTCGGTCATAGCAAGTGCTTTTAATTAATCCAATAACCATTTAATTAGTCTGTTAACCTTTTCTGAATAAAAGGTATTGAATAACTAATTACTCAAATGGCCCAAAAAGCTCCAGGAATTTCAAATGTTTTGCCGTTTGTTTCATAAATAGTTAATTTTAGCACTAAAGTCTTGTCAGAGTTGATAGCTTACAGGTGTGAGTTGTAACGAACAATTGGAAGCTCATTACTTTGTGGGATGGAGAGTAGTTGCAAGGAAGGACGCAGTTGGAGATAGTGGGTGGTCTGCTGCACGGTGTTCTGTAGCTTCTTACCGGCCTCACGCTGGGCTGCAGAGCACAGAACTGCGGCTGCGGTGCTGCCCCAGGCCCCGCCCACAGAGAAGGCCGCCCTCTGCCCCCGCGGCCCGCCTGGCCGGGCTCTGAGGTGCCCCGGTGGAGGCAGAGCCAGGCCAGGGCAGTCTCACTGTGGCGCCCTGCGCCCACGTCCTGCAGCCAGACAGGTCTCCAGAGAGACTAGCTGGCTGTTGGAGCGAAGGGTAACGTCATGGGGATGCGGCGGGGCGGCGGGTGTCATCTGCCTTCTCTGCTGAGGGACCAGACAGTTCAGTGCCCCTCTGGTTTTAGCCCCAGAATTGATCCTTGCTTCTCTTCCATGTCAAACAACTGCCCTTGTGACTGGCACATCCAGTCGGTAGCCATGGTGGCTCTGGGGCGAGTGTGGGCTAACCTAGGCCCCTGGTACCCCCTCGGCACAGGCCTGGGCCGGGCCAGCTTTCCAGCGCCCCTGACCAAGTGCGAGGGCTGTTAGGCCGATGGCCAGGTCTGAGCGCTCATGAGACACCGGAGTGTACCTGCTCTCCTGTGCGCCTGCGTGGCTAGTGGTAACTGCAGAACGCACAGCTGAGTGTGCAAAGTGATAGCTTCATTTTATAGTCTGGTATGGTCTGTGTGTGCTCATTATAAAAGCAGTGTAACAACTCTTAAATCCACTGAAACCTTTGAAAACTTCCTGATTGTAGGAATTTGAACCCCATCCATTTGCTAATCACAAGTTAAAATCCAAGATTTTTAAAACAGCTTTTTGCTATGGACAACTTGGATCCTCTGCACACATACCTGTGGGTGCTAGGACCCCCGCCCGGGGTTGGATGTCAGCAGCCGCACAGCCCTGCGGCTCAAATCACGGCAGTTTAGGAGGAAGGCGCCTGCTAATGGCCTGGTTGGCGCTGAAACAGCTAATGCAGTTACTGGAATTATTTAACCAACGCGACCCCTGGGCGATGCTGGCGGGCGGCAGCCTGTGCTCAGCCCCGGGCGCGTCAGGCCAGGCGGCTGTGTACTGGGGGGGGGGGGGGGGGGGCGCGCCCCGTACCTTCCACTCAGGTGTGTTTATGTTCTTTTTCAGATTTGGGGGTTTTATTTTGATCTTCCACTCAATTTTGCTGTAAATTTAAAACTCTTAAGAAAATAGTCTATGAAAAAGTCTCAAATATTCCATACAAACGACTGTTACATTTGAACACCAGCTTATGAGTGACTTTGTACGTATGATTCTTGCTCAGGTTAATACCTCTCTGCAGCACACTCCATTTAAAATTGTTTTTATTGATTTTAGAGACCAACAGCAGCCACTTGGCCCACCCGTCTCTGCAGGCACCGGTTGCTGCCGGTGCGCCCTGACCCCCGGGGCCCAGGCCGCCGCCCGGCAAATTGGGGCGGCGCTCCAGCCGGGGCTGTGAGCTCCGGCTGAAAGGCGCCCCCCGTGGTGCCCGGCGGGAGGCCAGCGGGCCCCAGGCTGAGCCACGGCCCTTCTCGGGGCTGCCGGTGCCCGCTGTGCCATCTCCCTCACCACGGGCCTGGGTGCAGGCAGCCTCCTGCACCCGGGGCCCACGCGTGCACATCGGCCACAGGGCTGAGCACAGTTTTGTCCGCAATTCATCTATAAACTTTCTTCATTTCAGAAAGTGTGATGTTCTGAATCGCGGATTTTCAGGCTATAATACTAGATGGGCCAAAATTATCCTTCCGAGGCTGATCAGGAAAGGGAGCATTTTGGACAGCCCGGTGGCGGTCACAATCTTCTTCGGGGCCAATGACAGTGCGCTGAAAGGTAAGGCCTTCTGTGCTCGCTTTCCTGGTTCGCGCTTGTGCCACGGCCGGCTCCGTTGTGCGCTCTGCCTCTGCGCCTCCCCACAGAGCTCCCCGCACGCTTGGTGTTTCCTCGCCTGTGACGCCAGGGAACCCTGTGCACACCCAGCCTGTGGACCTGAAGGTTCCGAGCCGATGTTCCAGGGGCGCGGCCTGGGGGTCGGAGCCAGGCGGCGGGGTCCGCTGCTGGGACGAGAGGAAGGGCCAGGCCAAGCCCGTGTCCCCTTGGTGCTGCACAGGAGAGCCGTTTGCATGGCCGGGGCTGGGCGCGCGCCTGGCAGTGGTTTCCCCAGGGCAGCAGGGGCCTTTCCCTGCTGTTTGTGGGCCCCTGGGGACGTCGCAGGTGCGGTCCAGTGGGCGGTGGCCGCGTGGGTTACAGGGTCAGTCGGGGGCCGCCAGCGAACTACTTACGGAAAGGCGGAGTCGTTTCTTCACAGCCATATGTAGAATTTTTCTCAAACAGTGAGGTTTTATCAGATTTAGGACCGGGGAAAACACTTTCTAAGAATAAAAGCAATGGAGGAAATTGCAAAGGAAGGAAATAGGTTTGTGATATAAAATAGTTTATGTCTGAAACTATTAAAAAAAGAAAATAACACAAGGAACATATTTCCAAAAATGATAGACCAAAGGTTAATGTTTTTCATAAAATCAAGAAAAACATTAACTCCAGTAGAAAAGGCAAGAATAGATCATTCACAAAGGAGAAATTTAACAGCCAATATGTGTTTTAAAATGTGTGAAATCTTAAGTTACCACCCCCCAAATGCAAGTTCCCACAGGGGGTTTTGGGCTTTGACTCAAGTAGTTCTAAGCAGTAAGCCTTGCAAGCAGCAGCAGCCTCTTGTGCCCCTGGTGCGCACGCTTGTACTTTCTAGAAAGCCCTCTAGGGGGCGCGCCCCTCACCTGGAATGCAGCCGGGGTGTCACATGTCACAGCAAAACCAGGGTGCTGCACGGTGGAGAAGTGGGGTGCCCTGCAGCTAAGTCTCATGCTTTTGAGAACCATTTATGGAAACAAAAGCTCATAATATAACGTTACGTGAGAAAAGCAAAGTATTATGATTTATCTTCAATGTGACCCCTCTTTTAAAAAGCAGACACAACTCTGTGGGAAGACTGGAAAGAAGTACCTCGAAGAGCCAGCTGTGGGTTTCTAGGTGGCAGGAAGGGCCCTGAGGGACTTTATTTTTCTCCCTGACGACACCCACGCGGTTTGCAAATGACCTGCAGGGAGCTCTGGGGGCGCCCGCACAAGCCCGCCCAGAACCAGCCCTTTGCGACTGAGACAGCGGCAGCAGCGGCAGGGGCCTGAGTGTCCCCTGTCGGGCAGGGACCTCGTCCTGGGTGCCCGACACGCCTGGCAGACTTAATTTGCAGACACTCCGGGAGGCAGAGCCTGTCTTTCCCTTCTCACCAGTGAAGAAATGGAGGCACAGAAAAGCTGAGCGCTTGTCCCAGGGCGTGTGGCTGGGGCAGGCGAGCCGGGAGGGGCCGGGCTGTCACCCCGCAGCTGCTCGCTGATTCACACGGTTGGCCTGACTGGCTGCGAACTGCCCGGCCGTGGGGGGAAGGCGGGGGCGCTGCCAGGGCCCTCCCGGTCTCCTGAAGGGCTGTGGCCTCGAGCCCTTCCCCTCCCCCGGTGACGGCAGGAGCTGTGGGCCTCCGTGAGGAGTGTGTTGGTCTTAGGTGCCACTCAAGCCTGACGTGTCGTGTTCCTCCTGCCAGACGAGAACCCCAAGCAGCACATCCCGCTGGAGGAGTACGTGGCGAACCTGCGCAGCATGGTGCAGTACCTGAGGTCCGTGGACGTGCCCGAGAGCAGGGTCATCCTCATCACGCCGCCCCCGCTCTGTGAGGCCGCTTGGGAAAAGGAGTGCCTCGCGCAGGGTGAGCGGGCCTGGGGACAAGGGACTTCGTGGGGCCCTCCAGCCTGGGGCTCAGGGTCTTAGGGTCGGTCGCTCCACATGGCTCTATGTTTGCAATCAAGTTAAGGGGAAAAAGCATAGCTTCCGTGAGGTCAAACCCGAGGACTTTTGACACAAAAATCAGTCTTGCTTTGATTTTCTGCCTCGTATTTTCCCAACTCCAAGGTGCACGTGAAACCCCAAGAATCGTGCAGGCGCTGAGCGAGCGTCTCTGGCCGGATGGACGGCAGGCAGTTCTCCACAGGGCGCCGCGTCCAGGGGAGGCTTTGCGCCCTGGACGCCAGGGTCCTGCCCTGGGCTGCCTTCCTGAGCGCCCAGCAGCGGGAGGCGCCCGCTGTGGCTGCCTTTCCCCTTCCGGTCTGTGTGGCCCTTTCTCCATGCTGCGCACCGGTGGCTGCCACTGCCCTCCAGCAACAGGCGCTTTCCCTCCCCAAAAACAAAGGCGGCTCCACAGGCTCCTGGGGCACGGGCCCCTCTACGCAGTGTGGCTGGGCAACTGTGTGCAGCTCTTGGGTGCCCCGCCAGGCCATCTTTGCCCCTTCACACGCTGTGCCTGGCCCTGGCCAGGTGCTCAGGCCACAGGACGACTAGAACCTGGTTCCTGCCTGCTGGGCTCAGGAGGGGGGACAGTCGAGTGACGGGGCTGCAGCAAGGCAGGCGGTGGTACAGGAGCGCCGTTCCTGAAGGCCTGTGCGGTGCCGGAGCCGCGTCAGTGACACGGAGGAGCCCTCGCGCCCCAAAGGAGGCGCACGGGGAAGGCACCCTGGGGTGAGGGCAGGGAGCCAGGAGGAGAGGCCCTGCTGCCAGGCCCAGGGGACAGTGCAGGGCACAGGGCACGGCCACCCAGCAGGGGCCCTGCAGGGGGCGCGCTTTGCTGCCTGCCTGGGGCTGCTTTTCAGGCAGTGAGCCCTTTGTTGCCGGAAGTGCCCTTGCTGAGCACTGGGAGGGTGTCCTGCACACAGAGCCACCAGCGCTTCTCCAGCCGCAGCTCAGCCCCTTCATGCTCACGGCAGCTGTGGTCAGTGCAAACATGTTTTAAATGGGATATGATAGAAGAAGTATTTAGAACACAGCAGGCACTGTTCTGTGAGATGCTTCGCTTCTGTGGGTGTGTGTCCTCAGGCCTGGTGTTAAACACATGTCGTACTTCCGTTTTCATCAGCCAGGCTCCCGAGTCTTCGGACATGGTTCTGTGGCCTGAGACTAGTGGAGCAACATCCCAGGGGACCCAGTAGCAATGCCAGTTCTCGGGCCATCCCAGACCCACCTGCTGAGTCTGGTGATCCTGACATGCGCTCTAGTTTGAGACCTGCCACGTTAGACTGGGGCCAGCTAACTGTGACCCACTGGCGACACCTAAGAAAGTGGTTGGGAGACAGGTCTGTTGGTTTGCAGAGTGTCTGGGGCTACATCTGAGCTACGCTGGCAGGGCGGGCTAGTTGCCGGCAGAGACTGTGCTTGCAAAAAGCACCGAGTCCCCAGCGCTCTTCAGGGCGCGTCTGCCCACCCCCGAGGTGGCCTGGCGACCCGCGTGCTCCCGCCCTTCCAGCTCCTCCCTTCTCTGGTTGGAAGTCTGCACATGTTTCTCCACGATGCTGGCAGTAGCTCCTCGTTACATACAGAAATCCCGGGGTCTCAGCATAGCCTTCCACTACCGCGGGCCCCTTACTAGCCACCAGCCCGGCCCCCTGGGCCGGTCCTGCTCGGGACCTCTGGTCGGTGTTCTCAGGAAGCCATGGCGAGCCCCCAGCTTGTGCCGGGCAGTGCTGGCGAGGCTGCCCTGGTGTGCAGTCCTCCCCAGGCCCCCGCCAGGCCTGCAGGTCTGTGCCTGTTGACTGAAAGACCGTCCCAGTCAGCCCCAGCACAAGGACAAGTGCTTGGGTTGATCTGTTGTCACCTGGATTTCTGCTTCTCTCTATAGGTTGCAAGTTAAACCGCCTGAACGCGGTGGCTGGTGAGTATGCCAGCGCCTGCTTGCGCGTAGCCCGAGACTGTGGGACAGACGTGCTGGACCTGTGGGCCCTGATGCAGAAGGACGGACAGGTACGGGGCTTGCTTGGTCCTGGTGGGGTTAGTGCGATCACGCAGACATGACTGGGCTGGGCACAGCCAAATAGGTGAGACAGCTGTCCCCCTCACCGCTGATCAAAGCAGGGGCAGAAAGGCGGGGTGGAGAGGCTCCGGGACAGGGCCAGCTCGCAGGCCCCGTACCTGCTGCGCCTGGCTCTTAGCCGCAGGGGCCCTGTCGCGCTGCGAGGCAAACGAGCAACAGCGGGTCCTGGTTAAACCATCCAGGCCAAGTTACTTTATCATAGGGCCTGGGGCAGGGGCAATGAAACTCATTACCAGGCAAAACCACGAATTTAAGTAGAATGTGGTATCAGCTAAAATTTGCATTTTGAGATGAGGAGTTCTGGTTATTTTAAAGTCAGAAAGCCCATTTACAAATAATAAAAGGTAAAAGCTGTCCCCCTGAAGAGCAAGAGCATCCCGCAGAAAGACAGCCTGACAGCATCCAAGACAGTAAAACACTCTCAGGATGGGCCCAGCACCCCACCCCCGGGTGCTTACACAAGGGACCCGTCTCCCTCGGAAACCAGGACCACGAAGAACTGCAGCTGAACGCAGTGGGCACAGCACCACGAGTTGTTTTTGTCTGCGGGGAGGTGGGCACACACCACAGGGCCAGCTGCTCTCCACAGCCCCTGGAGCTTTCGCACGCTGAGGTCCTAGGGCCGAGGGGTTGGCCTTAGAGGTCATCAGAGGTGGCAGCCCAGGAAGTGCCATGAGTTGAGCCCTGGTCTGAAAGTTGGGGGCTAGGGGGCTGCCCAGGCCCTAACTGGGTGGGGGGCCCAGGGCTGCAGGGAAAGCCTCGCCCCTGCAGAGAAAGGGCGCCGAGGATCAGGCACGGGGACCGACTCCTGCAGTTACTGTCCCAGCCCCGACAGTGGTGCGGGCTCGTTCTTCCCGATAACCTGCCTGTGGATTTAATACGTAGACCAAGAGGCAAACATGGACATGCCTGGCCTCTTCACGCCCACGTGTTCACTCTGCTGATCGCGATAACGCGGCCTGCTCACTAGTTCAGCCCCTCCTTTGAACTGACGACTGGCGAGGATGTCTCAGCTCAGGTCTTCATGACCTGAGGCTGCCAGAAGCTCCCCCCGCAGTGCACCCGCACCCCACTGCGAAGGGCCCCTGAACACGGGCGGGATGAGATCCCGGGGGAGCCCCTAGTGGCTGCTGCAGTCCCAGGAGACTGCTGGGGGGCGGGGGGCACGGCTGGGAGACCAGAGTGCACCTGTAACCAAGTCCCCTCTCCCCCGACAGGACTTTTCATCCTATTTGTCAGATGGACTACATTTATCACCAAAAGGAAATGAGTTTCTGTTCTCCCATCTCTGGCCTCTGATAGAGAAGAAAGTCTCTTCCCTGCCGTTGCTGCTCCCTTACTGGCGAGACGTAGCAGAAGCAAAACCAGAGCTCAGCCTCCTCGGAGATGGGGATCATTAGGCCCAGAAAGCGGAGGCTGCTGACTTTACAGAACAGACGTCACCACGCGCCAAAACTCCAAGATAACTGATCGAGTATTTTTTTCTCAAGCATAAACCTTCGCTCCTGACCTTGGAGCGAAAAACACCGCCACGTGAAACCGAGATTAATAAAAAGCACTGTCGTTTTCAGAAGAGCTCTGTCCTGAGGTGGGTGGTTTGGGCGCTAAATGTCCATCAGTTGCTGCAGGTGCGTCTGCGGCCGCAGCTACACACACATCCTGAGTGGCCTGCTGATGCCACAAAAGGAGAAAAGGTAAAGACAGTTCTGTTTTTTATAAAGTCAATTTTATAAAAAATGATTTCCTTACATTCAGCTAGCAACTGGTTCACTCAGACATACACCCACACACCTTACATCAGGTTCCAAAAGTGTAACTTAAGACATAAGAATATTGTAACCAGTTAAAAATAGCAAATACCACAAGGTACAAGTTCAAGTATTAGTGTAACAGGTACCTGCTAACAAACGTCCTTAGGGAAAAAGACACCATTTGTCACAGGTTTGGTTAATTGCCCTTGAAGTTTATACATTTTCTCATTTAAATGTGTTGGCTAGTGAGCACATTTCAGGACTTCCAAGGAAAAAGCTTTGAACTATAATTTTAAGGAAATCAGAATTCCATCTGATGACTTATCCTTCACACAGTAAATGCACGCCATCCAGAATCCTGAGGCACTAAAGCAGGAAGTAATGCAAACAGCACTTGCGGGTCAGCACCAGGGGTTTGAAAGAATCACTTGCGTAGAAACAAAGCCCTAGGCCCAAGGGAGGCGGCATTCCCTCCCTGGCCTGCCCATCTCTCCTTGGCTCGGCCCGTGGCCGCCACCTGTCCTCATGGCGACAAACAGCTCACACATCCTCTTGGCCACTAGTGTTTGAAAAAGGTGACTGTACTCTTACTCTGAAGTAGTTTAGGTTTTGTGAGTTTTTTAAGCAACAGTATTAGAGATACATGAAGATGCTTACAAAACACAGAAAAACTGCCCAGCAAATTAGGGCCCGAAAGCGCAGGCAGGATTCTGTCCTTAGGCGGGCTACTCTTTGGAACTCTCACTGTAAACCGATTGTTTTAATTCTAGAAAGTACTAACCTTAGACTTAATTCTAAGGATTATCGCAAATTATTCCTGAATTTAGATGTCATTCTCCCTGCTGGTGGGAGCTCTGGGTAACACCTAGGAACTACCTACATTGTGGAGATAACACACGACTCGGTTTTATCTCCTCCTTTACTTGAAGGCAAAAAAATAAATTACCCTGCGTTCCAGTTGTCCTCACAAATAACCGCTGAACACCGCCCCCTCGCTTCCATCACACTGGTATGGGAGAGAAAGCAGCGTCTCTGTACTCAGTGCTATTGTCTGTATAAAAGGTTAATTTACAAAAATGTAAATACTTAGAATGTGATCCAGCTGTATATTCTGCTTTTGCACCACAGGTTGAAGGACATTTTAAACAAAACACTAAAACCTGAAAGCCTCAAAACAAGCCAGATTCACCTTACCTGTTCACACGGAAAAGGGCCTAATCACACAGGTGTGTGCGCAAAGGGTGTCCAGACACATGACCAGCGCCTGCTGGAAGTCACTTCCTGGTTCCTCCCAAATCTTCACAAAAATCTATGAGTGATTTTAGGTCAAATCTATAAAAATACTTTGCACACTCTGGTAGGTCAAAGAGCTCAGGACGCCGATCCCTGAACTAGCACTCGGTTTCTTTGCTGTCGACACGATTTTGCCGCTGCAGCTTAAACGACGAGGCCTTCTCACTCCTAGTGACCGGATGGTCCGTGAGGTCCTCAAAGGACTTGGCAGCTGTGCTGCTGCTGGGGAAGGGGTCCTTCTCAAAGCCGTCCTCATCCACGTGCGAGTCTGTGCTGGGGTCTTCCTGGATCGTGTCCATCCGCTGGTGGTCCAGCTTCGCAGCCGCAGGCACCAACGGCGGCACGGAGACAGCCTGCAGCGGCTGGAGGCGGCCCGGGGTCTGCGGCCCAGGAAAGGGTTTGATGATGCGCACCGACGCCGAATCCATGCTGCTCAGCATTTCAACATTCTGCAAAGACGGCAGTAGGAGGTGAATGGTGTCCTGCAGCCCAGCTCACCCACCCAGCAGCCCAGCTCACCCACCCAGCAGCCCAGCTCACCCACCCAGCAGCCCAGCTCACCCACCCAGCAGCCCACCTGGGGGGCGCCCTGACCCCTCACGCTAAGGGAAGCACGAGGCAAGGTGCCCTCAACTCAGCAATGACTGGAAAGCTAGCTTTCAAATGGCCCTGCAACTGACCGTTTAAAGACCCAAAAGAGAACTTGTAACAATCCTATCAAGATCAGATCTCTAGACAAGATCTCAAAATAGTTAGTGCTGACAGGCTCAGTTGCTGCTGGCTGTGGGGAGGGTCTGAGCAGCAGGACTTCGCTGGTGTCCGTGGCTTTGACCCCCACACAGGCCCTTCCTGCTGCTACAGGACCTCCAGCAGCCACAGGGGGGCGCGGCTGGGGTGGCCAACGGGAGGTCTTAGCAGGGTCTCCTTGTGCAACTGAAAATGCCTTTCACACGGCATACTTACACTGGGGTGGAACAGAGACAGAGATTCATACTGCTTATCCAATTTCTTATCCTAGAAAGAACAGAACAGGGAAAAGGTCATTCCCACAAACGGACTTGAGTTAAGTGCTCATTCCTTACAGGTTCCTCCTAATACCGAGTGAATAACTAACTTAGGAGTCACAGGAAGGGGTAGCAAGGTTCCAGAGGAGAATAAGTTTCTTAGGTAAACACTAACAGGTCTGCCCCCAGACTAGCAGCGTCTCCTTCGTACGGGAAGGTATGTGTTTTGGCGTTCAGGAAGGCCAGATCTAAGTGCTATTCTTCTGGGTGATTTCCCCCCATGGGCAGGAAGGTAGGCAAGGGCTCCCACCTCTCTGTGTGCCCAGTCCCGGCCTGTGACAGGGCAGTGGCGGCCACCCCTCTGCGGAGGGCCCAGGGGGCTGTACCTGCGCTCCCTGGCACTGGCCACACACTGCGCCAGCCCACCACAGCCTTAACATTCTCCTCAGCTATTTCCAGAGTCCTGCGGCCAAACTCTTGACGGAACTGAGCCACATAGCCTATGTGGCACTTCTGCATAAGCCTGAACACACGCTTCCATCGACTGCACCAGGTCCTTGCCTGTGGCTGACACGTCCCATGACAATGGGCACCAGGCAGGAGGCTGAGCCCGCAAAGCTAGGCCTGGCTTCTGGTCCGGCCGCCCTGAACGTGCTCTGGTCAAAACAAGCCAGGACCCGCCAATTTGCTCGGAAATCAAGGATTAGGCCTTCACCGCTCACAAGTGCAACTTTTACTGCCAACAAAATAGGTTCGACTCAAGTGAAAGCTGGCATGACGGAGGGCACCGTGGTCCCTCTCTCAGTTCCCGCCTGTCCCCTGCAGAGACAGCTCTGCTTCAGCAGACTGCTTGCTCCCTGGAGGTTTCCCTTCCCAGGCCCACCAGGCTCCGCACCTGCAGGAAGAGCCCCTCGGTGCCCCACCCTGGCCAGAGAAGCCAGCTGTGACTACGCGGGCACGCGAGCTGCGCAGGGCTTCCCCGGGCCCCCTCTCGTTAGCTGAAGGGACTGCACGCCCGTGCGGCGGTGCCAGGGGTCTGTCGGGTACGGGGCGCCGTCCAGGGAAGGCGAGTGTCTGAGGTTTGCTCTGACAGCAAAGCCTGCGAACGCCCTGTTCAGACTGCGCTCCTCAGAGGCCCCGGACAGACCTAGGTAAACAGTCCCCTGTGCTCAGTATAAAATCCCTCAGAAACACCACCCGAGAGTAACACAGCCACACACACACAGTAAAATTCTTTTTTGAGACTACCAGTTAATCTCTTTACAAGATATGTTTTCTTAGGGATAGCACCAAAAGATGGCACTGGAAACATCAGGTCAGATTCTGTTAAGAATAAACTTTATCTTTTCTGAAGAGTGTATGATTGGAGTTGCTCAAAATTTTAAGAAAATACTTTGTTACTTAAAAATGGTGACTTACCACACAATGGACAAGGATGCTGAAAGGGATCCAGACTATCAAGGAGAAAACCAGGACGGAGCCGACAATGTTGTCTGCTAAAAACTTCCCTGTGAACAATTTCAAAGAGTGAACGTCCTGATGAAAATATTTCCAAAGCCTAAATTTAAGTGCTCTTCAGACATCGTCACTGGGCCAGACGCCAGACTGCTGGCTAGAGAGCACCACTGACCCAGCGCCGAGAGGGGCAGCTGTGGCACCGTGTGAGACCTGATGCACGCCCACCTAGGGCGAGCCCCGGTGGCACACAGGTCTGCTCAGCGGGCCCTTGGGTGGCTGTGTGGGTGGAGTTGTCAGACAGCAGGCTGCTGGTAACCATGCTGACGAGGACAGTGCTGCTCTGTGGGTGTGAATTTTGTGGCTAAACTCTCAACTACGGGTCCCAGAGGACATAATGTCTCCTTGTTCCTGCAAAATCTGAGGCCCACTGGTAAACAATTCCTGCATCAGTCAGGATTCAGACTGACAGCCTGCAGGACGGCCACACGCTCATTTTTTCAGTAGAGAAGGAAGCCCACATTCTGACTAAGTGTTGACTTCCCTGTCTCCAGGCTGCATCCACACCACACGGCGACTGTGTCCACCTTCTGCTGCACGGTTACAACACATGAGAGTGAAGCCGCGCTCTTCAAACAGCATCTCAGAGATCAGTTCTAAGCTGACAACCACCCAGGGAAATCACCTACCGAACGTATTGATGCTCAGCTGGTCGATGAAGTCCCAAAAGCGCTCAATGACATCCTGGACGCGTTTCTCGCATTTGCCCTATGAAGAGAAAACAGCATCATTCCTAAAGGAAGTGTACTCAGGAGCAGCGTGGCATTATGCCAGTAACTAACACGTGAAAGCCTTCATCAAATCAAACACCTAGGGCTCATTTCCCGCCCTGGTTTCTTGTTTTCTTTCTTTTTAGGGCGCATCTTTGACACAGGTGATAATTTAAGTGTAACGAATACTTAAGAAAAGAGGCCATTCCTCACTGACGCCTACCAGCCAGCCGGTTTTTAAAAGCGAGTTCAGGTTTACAGGGAGCAAAACTCGAGTGAGCCAGCCTGTCAAAGAAGGACCCAGGAAGGACTACGCCGATCACGCCCCGACGCAGCGCAGCCCGGCTGCCTGGAGAGAACTCTCTGGCACTAACCCTCGTCCATGTTTTGTATGAATAAAGTTGTTTCTGTAGAGAGCTAAGGGTCTGACTTTGGTGGGTCAAACTGCTTCTAGATCTTTCCTACTCGTTCAGCACCTGTTTTAAAATAAAAACTTGCACTTCTGCAATCTAGGTCAATTTTATAATTAACCTAGAAAACCAAATAATCGGGACCCTCCGCCCCAAACCCATCAACTCTGCCCAAGCCCCCCCGCCCCCAAGTTCCTGCGCAGCCTACAGACTCGGAGTCCCTGCTCTGGAGCGCATGTGCTTAAGCGTCCCAAGGGCCCCCTGGCCGGCTCGCAGGCCGGGCACCCACGTGCCCACGTCCCAGACAGACCCCTGCACAAGCGTGGGAGTGGGCGAGAGGACATGTAGCATTTGTGTTTTGGTTTCCTTCCATTTGCAAAATCGAGTATTTATAATATAAAAACTTCCCATTTGGCTGGTACAAAGCTGTATGGGAATAAATACTCACATTCATGTCACAAAACCCTACTGTACAGGGCTTCCCTTTCCTCAAAAACAGGTTCTTCTGTTCAGCGTCGACGTAGGGCACACACCGGCCCGTGAGGTCCCTGCAGCACACCTTGCACGAGTTGTCCGTCTCTGAAGCAGACAGACAGTGGAGTTTTATTGGAGACGTGGCTCTCCTTCCCTGCCCCCTCCCTCCTGTGCCCCAAGGGGGAAGGCAGGCATTTATTTTATTTCAAGAGCTAATACTATCCACATTCTGCCCCTCCAGGAATATCTTCTGAGTTCATGCTCCTCAGTCCTGAGTAGAGGCTACAAAGTAAAAAAATAACTACAAAGAAAAGCTTCCCTTCTTTAATAGAGAGCCAAATTATTCTACTTCGTAATGCAATACGTTTCCCTCCGCCTCCACGCCGTCTCTCCGCTGCCTTCCACCCCGGGCCTCTCCGGGTCAAGGGCGCCCTGGAGCCAGCAAGCTGGGACAGGACTGCCACCCCGCAGGCGTGGCTCCGAGGGCCCTGGCACAGGGGCCCGGCGGCCTGGCACGACGACTCCCCCCACGGCAGCCAGCCTCTGACAGCACGTGGGGACAGGAGTGACGGGTGTCAGATAAGCCACCGGCACCCACACCAACAGCAGAAATGCCCAGCAAGTCAACTGGCAGCCTGACTCAGGACAGACTTCATCCACGGGCGCGTCGACATTTGTAGCCACCAAGATCAGTAAGGACACCAAAAACAGGAAAAACTACTTCAAAGGGAGCCAGGCTTTGTCATCGTTTGTCACACACTTCCGAGGCCCTCACTGTGTGTCCTTCGGGGGCACCCCAAGCCTCTCGCCACTGCCATTCCCTCCATGGTGTTTGCTCGGCATCGGCCGTGCCCTCGTCTTTACTGGCACGATCCTCTGCCCGGAGGGCCACTGGTTCTGTTGTGAGGATGCTGAGGTCCCAGCCCAGGGGCTGTGGCTGTTACCTGGGAATCTATAGAACTCTCTCTGGGGTGGGGCAGAAACCCAGACCAGTCCATCCCTGAGCCCTTCCTCAGACGTGGAGGCTCCAAAAGTAATGTAGAAACCTGGGGACAAGTGTCTGAGAGGCCAGCATGACATCGCTAACCGTTACTAAGCGCGGCCCCTCGTGCAGGCACCTGGCGGAGAGCAAAGGGCGGCCTGCCAACACTCCCGCAATGGCTCTCTCCGGCCAAGTCTTAAAGGAACCCCCCAGTTTAGTGCCAACAGGACACAGATGGCTCCTGCTCTTTTCAGGCCGTGTGGGACATGGGGGAGGGGCAGCAAAGACAGGCCTCCATCCACCCATCACCCACAAAATTCCCTCCTCCCTGGCCCCATGTGGTGTGAGAACGTGGCAGGAAGTGAGACTAACTGGACGGTTTCCACAGACGAGGAGGAGCCAGGATCTGAGCCCGGAGCCCAGAGCCCCCGGCTGCGCTGGGCTCTCGCGCCTCCCCGGCCACTCCCCTCCATGTGGAGGCCCTGCGCCGGGCAGACAGGCCGCTGCGGGGGACACGCTCACCGTTACACGCACAGGACTCCAGCTGCTGCTCCCTCTCACAGAAGGGGACGCACTTCCCATCCTTGCACTTGCCTAGGTCCAAGCACACCGTGTCGTCCTCGGCATCCCCGGGAGGGGGGCACTCACTGCTGTTACCTGGAAGCACCGACAAGCAGATGCCCCGTGGGTCGAGGTCCCTGGTTCCACAGAGCAGGTCACCCTGCAGTCCCGCCAGGGAGCCCCAGCCCAGAAGAGGGGCAAAGGTGACCCACCGGGCGAGGACAACTCGGCTGGCGTCCCATCAGCCAACAAGCCCCGAGGGCTGGGAGGCGTGCCAGGCCCTCGGAAGGCCCCGGATGCCCACAGCCTGTCCCCAGGGCCTCGCCTCCGTCGCCGCCTCACACCTGCCATGCAGCCCCCTTCCACCGTCTCCCGTGGGCCCCCCCACACACGTGCCATCACCACCACAGAGTAGCGCCAGGGCCGCGACCCCCGAGCCCACGTGCTCAGACGGCGGCCGCCTTCCCTCCAAGGTCTGTCCCACCTCAGAGCCCTGGCTGCTGGTCCTTCGTCCCCACTCCTCTGGGGGGACTGGCTGGCTTTTGTCACCCAAGCTTCTGCCTCACAGATCCCCTAGGCCTGCGTGGGCCTTCCCCCCACCAGGCCCCCCACCCACTGCTCTCCTGCTGGGCGCGCTGTCTGATTCGCATCTCGGGCTGACCGCTGCTCCCTCCTGCCTGCCCCGACCCTGCCCGGCGGCTGTGCTCCACGCAGCGCAGACCAGACCTGCCACAGCCCAGCTTCCAGCCAACCCTGTCCCGCTGCACATCCATCATAAATGTGTCCTGAATGAATCAGTGAGTGTTATGGACAAAGAGTCATCGAAGGATGCTAAACTCGAGAGAGAGGATGGAACAAGTGACTCATTCTGGACAATGAGCGGCACAAGCAGTTCACAGTCAACATGAGAAGAGAAGAGGAAAAGCAGCGATGAAAGCAATGGCACGTGCAGGCTCGGGGGGCTGGCCCCTCCCCTGAGGGATGGAACCGAGCCAACAACCGCCGGCCTCAGGGTCTGCGGAGCAACGACACAAAACTTGGAGAGAACGCAAGCAGCCTTTCTTCAAGGACCACGCACATCCTCCCGCAGGACTTTATGTTTGCCTCTGTCTGTAAGACCCTCCGTACACAGAACACTCGCTGTGTCAACGAGACACTCATTTCACAGCTGGGCACCACTGACAGCAAGCTCCGTGTGGCATGCTCAGCGAGGTCTGCCATCTGCTATCCTCATACTGGCTGTGTATGACGCCACCCTCCAGACACACAAAAAAGGCTCCATGGATATTTGTTGAACTTCTGTTCTTAAAAGACTAAAATCAAAGTATCAGACACGTGGGGAAAGAATTAAAAATACAGCATCGCCTCTTTACCATGGTTCCTAAGTTCAGCATGCAGCACGGTGGCCCAGAGCTACGCTGTGACCCAGATTGCTGGGCCCTGCCCCCAGGGCTGTCAACGCAGAAGGCCCAGCGAGGGGACCGGGAGTGTCCACGCCTGACAAGATCCTGTTTCTAGCACAACGCGACGACGCTGCTGGCGCTTCAGGCTGCCTCCTCACAATGGGCGTCCCCTGCTAGCTGCTGCCTCGTGTAAAGTATCACAGGGACAAAAGGCTGCTTACCAAAAAGAAATGCGTTTTATCTAATTGTTGTGCTTACACGTAGAAAACATCTCTGTTTATTACAATAAAGACTGAAACACTGAGCACAGCCAGGAAATGTTTTTAAAGCTTGACCAAGATATTCAGGTATCTGGCAAACTAGCAATGCTGACCAGCCTGAGAACGTAAAAAATCATGATTACGTTTTACGAAGTGCACATTTAAAAACCAAAGGACAAATGACAAGGAAACACCACTTCACTCCCACTAGGACAGCTGCAGTTAAAAAGCCAGGCAAGGACAAGCGCCGATGCGGACGTGGAGAAGCCGGAACCCCGCCCCCTGCGGGTGGGAGCACGGAGTAGCCCGGCAGCGCCCACAGGTGCAGCGGCCACCATCCGACCCAGCAGTTCCACTCCCAGGCACACACACGAGGGGAATGAAAACGTGTCCACGCAAAAACCTGCACACAAACATTCACAGCAGGACTATTTATCGCAGCTGAAGAGTGAAAACAATCCAAAAGTCCATCAGTTGAATGACTAAAACAAAATGTGGAATATATTCACACAACAGAATAGCACTCAGCAAGAGAAAAATAAACGAAGTGCTGATACATACTACAATGTGGATGAACCTTGAAAACATTATTCCGAGTGAAAGAAGCCAGTCACAAAAGGCAACGTATTGAGCTTCCACTTATGCAAAATGCCAGAACAGGCAAACCCACCGGGACAGAGCGCGGGTGAGGCTGGGGCGAGGGCGGTGAGGAGATCTGGAACGACGCCTAAACGGTGTGGGGCTTCCTTCTGCAGTGATGAAAATGATCTAAGACCGACTGTGGCAGAGCCGCACACTGTGAGTCTTCTGAAACACACTGGCCTGCACACCTTAAGGACAAGGGTGAGTGCCATCGCATGCAACAGTGTGTTCCTATCTCAGTAGAGCTACTCAAAAATCCATCCTACCAAGGGACAAAGTTATGAAAATATGAGAATGGGATAGGTGTCCCGACAAATAAGAACCACCACTACTGACGAAAAACTCAGGCAGCAAGCTGAGTCGTACATAAAACAACTTCCCAATGCACCACAGGGTCAGAAGACCCTGGTCAACAGGACACATCGGTAAAGGGAGAGCAGGTGACAAGGGCGTGGACGATGTGTCCACTGAGCACCTGACACCACAGCTTTGGAAGGTTTATGAATGGACAGGACCCCGGAAGACATGGGAAATCTTTAAATTATGGACAGTTTAAAGATTTTAATCCAGATGGATTAAAGTCCTAATGTAAAAAGGGAAAATTGTAAAGCTAACAGAAGCAGCTGTGGAAAATACCTCTGTAACCACCCACAACTCAGAAGAAGAAAATTAAAAACACGTGCTACACTCACAACAAAACAATAGTTTTGACTGCATTAAAATTAAAGATTTCTGTTCCGAGAAAGATGATAAACAGGAGGAAGGTATATGCAACGTTTAAACCAAACAGATCACTCACTATACAAGAACTCATCCAAATCAATGATATAGCAAAGGACACGAAACCCAATTTTTTAAAATGGATCAAATATATGAACTGGCTATTCACAGAAGGAGAAATCTGAACAGCTAATCCAAAGAGATGTGCAAGAAAAATGTAAACAAAGATGAGAAATCACTTTACGAGCATCAGGTTGACAAAAATAAGAATGTTGGCCAGGACGCTCGCACTAACGGTGGCAGTGACACACCAGTGTGTCCCACGCTCCCAACATCGGCACAGCACCCCCGTGTGACTAAGCACACCCCCGCTCCACATGCACCCAGGAAGCGCTCGCCCCGGGAGGAGACGCCGGGGGATGGCGGCTGCGGCCTGCCCACGGCGCCAGGGAGCAACAGGTACGCGCCCGCAGGCGCGGCTCAGGGAGCGGAGGAGTGCACTAACCACAGCGCTGCTGTTCCGCGGGCACCAGAGCAGCGCACCGCATGCAGACACAGGCGCCACAGAGCCACAGGGATGACGTGTAAAAACACAGCGCCGAGCTGAAAAAGAGCTAAGGCAGACTATCACTTTGGCATGCCAAAGACACACGCACAGTGACACATTATGTTTCAAGCATATACACACATTCAAACATTTGCATGGATGCCCATGAGAGGAAGAAGAATGAAGTGAGAGAAATAAAACATGAAAAGAAACCATAACAGGCCTTGCACAGCCTGGTGACAGGCTGGCCACAAACGAAGGAGCATCACCAATTCAGCTCTGCAAAGGAGGTGAAAAAAGGGCATTTTCATCCAAGTGAAACAACCTCATTTAACATTCCAACACGCACCTCCCCGCTTCAGCTCAGGGCTCCGAGAGAACCCGCAAGAGGACACACCTGTGCAGTACGACACGCCTTTGCACGTGGCATTAATGGCCTCCTGGCACTTCTTCTGGGCAGTCTCAAACTGGCAGTTTTTGCAGCATGGGCTGTTCCTGTCACTGCAGGAGAGCAGACAGGACAGTCCAAGTCAAAGGGCGGCCCCACAGCAGACACCGCAGTCACATCACAGGGCCCCGAGGGCTAAGCACATGGGAATGTCTCCAGCGGGGGCGCCCCTCCCGTGCAGCCTGGCTTCCCAGGTGCCGGTGCCGCCTGTGCGCACTGCGTCTGCCCGCCTCATGCGGACCCCGGCAGCCGCGATGCGGAGTGGGAACAGCGGGTCCAAAGGGACTCATCTTTAAAACATCTTGGTGTCCTTGGTTTTCATTAACTTAATATATTACTTAAAAAAAAATAAACAACAAAAAATAGGCCTCCAAGGCAAACAACTGTCAAGAAACTAGGGAGCCCATGCCCACTCCCTATGGGAATTTACAATGTTAATACAAGTGTGCTTTCAATCTGCTGTGACCTGGACTCCAGGTCCCCTGGGTCCCCCCTGCCCCCGTGCCCCAGGGTGGCATGTCTCGCCTGCACTGGACGCCCTCCTTCAGCGTGCAGTTGCTGTGGCAGCAGGTGTCGTTGTTCAGGTACATGATGCCGGGGTCGCACTCCTCCCCCTCGTCCACCCGGGAGTTCCCGCACACCCTGTTGCTGCGCTCCTGGAAGCACTCCTGGGCCTTGCTCTCGATGGTCTTGTAGATGGACTGCTTGCTGCAGTTTGAGAACATCTGCAGAGAGAAAGGCCACAAAGGACTCAAAATAATGTGAAAACCCACTGCCATTGGTTTGCAGCGCTTCTCTAAACTCTGCGTGCAATAGTCATACTCAGAGCCTCCTGCGGCACGTCCAGCCCCATCGCTGTCACCTCTAAATGTCCTTGTGTGGAACTGCATTCTCTCCCCCTGCAGAATGTTAAAAAGCTGGTGTGAATTTGTGTAAGAGCCGAAAACCCTTCACAGAAGGCCGGCCATACCCACGCCGAGCCCAGGCAGCCCAGCCAGGCGGCCGAGAGGGCAGCAGGGCAGCACAGGCGTGGACCCGTGGTCTGCACCAGGCCATGAGCCATGCCTTCCGCAGGCACAGCACTGCCCGGTGACAGGGCGGGTCAGGCACAGACGCCATCTTCCTAAACAAAAGGTCCAGGCACATAAACAGGGCTGCTTCCGTCTGCCTCTTTCCCGGGCTATCTGAATGAAGGCGCTGTTTAAAGGCTTCAAGTTGTTGAGCTTACTAATGGAAAGCACAGCATTATATACGATCTATTAAAAGATTAATTTCCAAACTGTTACCTAGACGTTTTCGTGGGTCCCCAAGATTTTAACAGTTTCTCTTTGTTTTCTAAGGTGACAAGTGTCTCCAAAGGAGCCTCTACCAAGCATGCCCAGAACCACGGAGACGGCCCTTTCTAAATTCAGGGAGATTAACCAGAGCCCTGAAACAGCCCGTGTTCCAAACCATCTGACAATTAGAAAAGGGGTGAGGGTCTTGGGGAAAACGCAGCACAGTTACTTGAGGCGGGGTTCTCCATGGAACTCTGCAAATTGCTTCACTTTCACACCACACAGGAGCCTCGAAGCCCCTGAGACCTACAGAGCCCAGGACCCGCCAAAGGTGACTGTGGCCACTGAACCATCTGTCACCCTAAACAGAAACACTAACTGGACTTTTTAACAAGGATCTTCCACTTCTGATTAAGATGGCAACATAGGCAGACACGGCTCACCTCTCTTTGCACAACCACATAAAAATTATAACTAAAATGTGGAACTGTCAGGAATCGAATTGAATGGAAGTCTGACATCTATCGAATGAAAGACACCACATCCATCGAGACTGGTCAGAGGGGCAAAGATGTGGAAGGGGCTGATCCCACACCCATGTGTGCTGGATAAAACTTTGGGAGGGATGTCTTGGGAGCAAGGAGTCCCAGCCCCACACCAGACCTCCCAGCCCAGGGTTCCAGGGTCAGGAAAGTAAGTCCCCACAACTTCTGGCTGCAAAAACCAGCGGGGATTGAGTCAGTGGAAGAAAGTTCTGGGAACCCAAGCAGTTCCTCTTAAAGAACTGGCACACACTCACCTACTCAGGGCCACTCTCTGAGCTCCAGCACCAGGGTAGCAGCTTGAAAGGCACCAAGGGTATAAAGGGAGGAACTGAAGTGTCTGGCACCAAGGCGAGCAGAGGCCACTGTCCCTTTTCTAAACCAAACCGCCACACAGACAGCAAGCTGGCGCAGTATCTGAGACTCCATCAATCCGGCCAAGGCTTTTGATGTGCCTTGGAGACCCCCAGAGACTCTGCCCCGCCCACCTGACAGGACCACCAAAGCTGCTTTTCCATATGAATGACTGGTCTGGGCTCATGCTGCACAACCCTGTAAATCCTTTCAACAGCGGGCCTCAGTGAGCCCCAGGCCGAGCACTAGCAGCACCCAGTCTAGATTCACATCTTGGCTTCGCCTGCGAATCTCCAAGCCCAGCCCAAGTAGCGGCCATCTCAGATGGCTCTACAGCTCAGGTAGAGTGGCTCCAGGCAAAACACAGGTCAGGGCTGACCTTGGCCTGCACCACCTGGGAAACCCCAGAGCCCAGTGGAGCCCCACGACCCTGCCCCTCCACGGAGGGCAGAGGTTGGTGGTCAGTGGCCACAGCCAGTCACTAAATTCAAGGATCAAGGCAGCTGACTGGCCTAGGTAAATCCCTTCCACTAACCCGTCAACAGCAACCAAGGCTCAACTACAAGAGGAGGATGCACTCAGCCCACACAAAGGGCACACGCCGAGTACCCAGCTTGGGTCATAGGGGAGGCTGTGCCACTGGACCCTACAGGATACCTACTACATTAGGCCACACTACCATGGCACAAAGTCAAGGCAGCTCTACCTAATACATAGAAACAAACATAAGGAGGCTGCCAAAACGAGGAGACAAAGAAACATTGCCCAAATGAAAAAAGATCAAAACTCCAGAAAAGGAACTAAACAAAATGGAGATAAGCACTCTATCAGATGCAGAGTTCAAAACACTGGTTATAAGGATGCTCAAGGAAATTAGTGAGGACCTCAGCAGCATAAAAAAGATCCAGTCAGAAACAAAGAAGAGACTAATAGAAATAAAGAACAATTTACAGGGAAACAACAGTAGAGCTGTTGAAACTGAGAATCAAATCAATGATTTGAACATAAGGAAGAAAAAAACCACCAATCAGAACAAGAAGAAAAAGAATCCAAAAAAAATGAGGACAGTGTAAACAGCCTATGGAACAACTTTAAGAGGTCCAACATTTGCATCATGGGGGTGCCAGGAGGAGAAGATAAAGAGCGAGAAGTTGGAAATCTCTAAGAAAAAAAAATGAAAGAAAACTTCCCTGATTTAGTGAAGGAAACAGACATGCAAGTCCAGGAAGCACAGAGAGTCCCAAATAAGATGGGTGCAAACAGGCCCACTCCAAGACACATCATAATTAAAATGTTAAAGGTTAAAAGCCAAAGGTTAAAGATAAAGAGAGAATCTTAAAAGCAGCAAGAGAAAATAAGTTAGTTACATACAGAGGGGGGCTCCCGTAAGATTAATTTCTCAAAAGAAACTTTGCAGACTAGAAGGGATTGGCAAGAAATATCCAAAGTTATGAAAAGCAGGAACCTACAGCCAATATTGCTCTACCCAGCAAAGCTATCATTTAGAATAGGAGGAGAGATAAAGAGCTTCCCAGACAAGAAGAAACTAAGGGAGTTCGCCATCAGCAAACCATTATTATATGAAATGCTAAAGGCACTTAAGAAAATGATCAAAACTATGAATAAAATGGCAATAAATACATATCAGTCAACAATTGAATCTAAAAAAGAAACTAAGCAAAGAAGAACAGAGACAGAATCATGGACACGGAGAGCATTCTGATGGCTGCCAGATGGGAGAACGGGCGAAGAGGTGCGGGGACTGAGAAGTACAAATAGGTAGTTACAGAACAGCCATGGGGATGTAAAGTACAGATAGGAAATGGAGCGGCCAAAGAATTATACACCTGATCTGTGGACATGAACAAGGGTGGGGGATGGCCTGAGGGAGTGGGGGGAGGGGCTGCGTGGAGGGGACAAAGGGGGAAAAATCAGGACAAAAGTAATAGCATAATCGATAAAATGTAATTATAAACAAAAGTAGAAGAAACTCCGGCTATTATAAAACTCTTAAATTAAGTGTTCTTTCTTTTACTATTTAAATTTCTTCTGTGACAGGCCTTCTCATACAGCACACGTAGTGAGAGCTGCAGAAGTTACCACCTTACTCCTTCATAGTGGATACTAACGTCAAAACTCGATAGCAGTAACTTCTCACGTTTTATTGTTTAGAAAGCTTTACAATATGTGTATATTGGTTTTTAAATAACAATAAAGGTATGCAAGGGAGAAATAAATAAATACATAAATAAATAATTTAAAAGGCTCTTCCGAGGGATTGCTATAGCAAAGATATTTAAGGGGCCGGCCCCATGGAAGCCGGAAGCCGGGGCAAATGCCATGGTGCCTTTCCTGGTTAGGGCCCGACTCTCCCAGCCCCTCCGGCAGCCCCTCCCCTTCAGCAGGACGCCTTCCCCACAGGGCGTTCTGCAGTTCAGCTCTAGGTAACATGAAAGGACCGGACATCTTGGGCCCTCTTCACTCAGACTCTTAGGAGTTAGTCACAGCCACTCTTAAAGTCTCTGAAATCAGTAGCAATATCTCGAGTCGACGGGCATGCTGTATCAGAAACCGTCACAGGTAGGTTGTTTGTGTGTGCTCGATGCACACTCACCAGGTGTGCCCCCGCCAGACACGGGAGACAGGGCCGGGGACGAGGAGGACAAGGGCCCTGCCCAGAGGAGGCTTCCAGTCTGGCCAAGTACGCGTTTTGTTACATCAATTTATGGAAACACGTAAGTTGTGAAGTGTTGTGGAGTTTAAGTGAATGACAACTTATAAATGAAATGACAGGAAGTTTTAACTTAAAGCCTGAGCCCACCGGACCCTATCATCTAGAACTTCAACACAAGCCAAAAAGTATTACTAATTTTCTGTAGAGCTCAAATCTACACAATTAATCTTGGTAACAAACAGCCCAAACAACAGCTTTACCCCAATTTAGATGGCCCACATCTCAGTCCAAACACACACCAAGTTTCCGGGTCCTTGGTAATTTGCAGTCCACCCCAAGCATGGGGCCTGTTCTGAGCTCTTACTATAAATTCAACAGCCACTTTCTTTCCTAACCACGTCAGGAAGCTCCGAAGACACATACCTTATTGTTCTCATGGTCTCCACTCACAGCTATGGGGTACATGACGAACTTCCCTCCCTGGTCCTCGTTTGGGGCACATTCTGCTAGACCGTCCGGATCATGCTCCGCTCCAAAATTGTGCCCCAATTCATGAGTGGTAACCAGGTCAGCTTCCTTAAAGATCATGCAGAGAAAACATCATTTCCTAATACCCACCCGTCACCGGCTCTGGCCAGTGGGTTCTGCTGTCGTAAACAGGGTCCTGACGAATCAGATTCTGGAAGAACCCTTAGCTGTGCTCAGGCAGCAATGCAATCAACCCAAACCGTCACATTCCTACATCCCCTTGAGGCTTTGGGCAGCCAGACCAGCTTTCTAAAAGAGGCAGAGTATATTTTCTTTGCCCTCCTTTCTGCAACACAGAAGGGAATCATCTTGGGACCAGGAAGTGGTAAGCAGGTGGACAAAGGTCTCATGCTTCAAAGGGCTGAGTAATGGGGGGGCGGGGGAGACCCTGGACCCCGAGCACCCGAGCTCCCGCAGCAGCACAGAATGCTGCCTGTGGACCTCTTGACTGAGGCAAATGAGCCCCTTGCTGAAGTCACTGTCTATTGGATCATCTGTTATATGCACTCTGGAATATGTCTAACATATTCCTAATGGTTACACGTGGGCACAAATCTGAAATCTTCCAGAAATCCTGAAATCTTCCAGAGGAAAGTAACAGGCCACATACAAAGCATAAAAAGTTGGAATGGTTTCAGGCTCCAACAGCAACACAGACACTGAAGGACAATGGAGCGGTGCCTCAAACATGGCGAGAACTGGGGTACGCCAGCTTTCACTTTCAGGAATGCAGCAGCTGAAGAGTCTGCCTTTGGGTCCCCTCCTCAGGAAACTCCTGGAGGATTTACACCGAAATGGTGGTGTAAACCAAGAAGCGGAGGGACACGGGCCCAGGAAATGAGCCGGGGCATCTCCAGACACCAGCCACACAGCGCCCGAGGGTGGGGCAGGAGGGCAGGCTGGGGGCGAGGGGCATGGACCAGGGAAAACAACGACCCAGAAGGGTCTGGACTGACATTTGACAGATAACTGATTTTCTTCTTTATACCTTTTATCTTCATACTGCCCACCACAGAATGTTTTTTCAGACAGAAACAACAAAAAACCCAATATGTATTACTCTTTTAGAAGACATCTACATAAATATACAACTATAATAAACTAAAAATCTATCTTTTAAAAAAATAAAAGAACATACCTTTGTAAGGATGGTTTTACCATAATTTTTTGTGCTGGTCAAACCACTGTTCAAATAGATATTTTTCCTTCCGATCGGGCTATAATAAGCTACGGGAGAAGGAAACAAGCAGCTTGATCAGTACAGGATTACAGGGTCTGCCCGGCAGCCCGCTGCCCCCGCACACGCACACCAGTGGGGCGCTTACCCTTCGGACAGACTCCTCCGTGACTGTTTGCTCTGGGAGAACCAACGTAAGCTAACCCGAGAGTCCCCATATCGAAGTCCTGGTATGTGAAAAGGTGCGCTAGGCAGACTTTGGATGCCTCTTCAGCTATATCGAAGCTAAATTGCTTTAAAAAAGAAGGGTATTCTTAATTAGATTAACGACATCGTATCGTAAGATGCTTCAACCAAGCACAGTGCCCCATACTTGCGTGCTTGCGGGCCCGCACCAAACCGGGCAGGACGAAGCTCCTCACCCACAGCACCCGCTGACCCGCTGCGCAGGTGAGGGACGACCTGTCACCGGCCCTGGTGGGGAGGGGCGGGGGCACACAAACGGGAAGGCTCAGGGCTTTTTACGGCAGCCGTCAGAAACCACGGGAGCTGGCGGAGCCCGGCAGCCCCGCACCAGGACATCCCGAACGTGTCAGGCTCAGGGCCGGACGCCTCCCCAGCCCCGCACACCCACACACAGGCCTCACGAGCAGTTCAAGGGCTCTGCCCACTTTGCAGGGCAGTGGTTGTTTTTAAGTTTCCTTTGGTTTTACAATGTGTAGGAGTTCTAAATATAAACTTATAGGAAAGCATGTATACTTAGTTTTATGTTACTAAAATTAAGATTAAAATCCATTTAAGTTGGCACTGGTGCTTTGGGAGGATTTTTTTTCCTTAAAAGGGCTCTATATATTGCTTCAAAAATCTCTATTAGAACAACCCATAGTCTCCAATTTAAGAAGACCTTGATTTTTAAAATGCTTAACTGAGCAGCAGGAAAGCCCCGATGAGGAGACGCCCCCCGGCCGCGCCGGGATTGACAGCCGGGAGGCCACTGGGGGAGACCCCTGGGAGTCTGATAGGAGCCTGGGAGGGGACACCGGAGGGGCATCTGTCCAGTCAAGGGCTTTCCTTTGGCTCCTCCCCTAGACAAGCTGGCAGGCACGATGGCTCCACTGTCCCAGGGGCCAGGGTACCTGGTCACTCGACTCGGGCCGCCAGTAACAGCTATAGAACTCACCAAGAACAAGTCATTTAACCTGCCTGTTTTGGGCTGAACTGTGCCCCACCCCCAATTCATATGTTCAAGTCTTAACCATCAGGACCTCAGAATGTCACTGTATTTGCAGATGAGGCCTTTAAAGGGGTAATTAAAGTAAAACGAGGTTCTATGGGTGGGCCTCCCCATACTCCGATCAGACTGGTGCCTTTATAGGAGCAGATGGGGAACAGACAAACACAGAGAGAAGACCATGTGAGGACACAGGGAAAAGATAGCTGTCTACAAGCCAGACATACAGACCTCAGAAGAAACCGACCCAGCCAGCACCATGACCTCAGACCTCTAGCCTCCAGAACTGCGAGCCCTTCTGTGGTCCTTTTGGTTATCAGCAGTCCTAACAGACTAGTACACGTGCTGAAAGGCTGAAGGCGCCCTTTAGAAGGGCGATAGCGCTCTCAGCCTGCCTCTGGGGTCACCAGCAGGTCAAACTGGACAAGGGACGTCAGTGCACCGTACAGACAGAGCACTCTATGGGCCTCAACCTGGGTAAGGAGTTGGCAATACTCCCGAAATTCCATTCAAATGTGAAAACTGGGTTTCCGCCTTGTGAGACTCTCATCAGAGAATCCAGATGAGCCGGTGCCTGAACTAACCCGTGAAAACAATGAGATAAATCAAGCGTTGTTTTAAGCTGCTAAATTTGTGGTAATATTTTAGAACACTAAGAGCAAACTAATACATTATCGACCTACTGAAAGACAAACCCTATCATTCCATTGGTTATTTTACAAAGCAACAGCATGCAGACTCAGACACTGCAATCGTGTGGTAAACAGGATAGATCACGTTCTGCTGAGGCACAGAGTATTCAGGTTAACTACCTTTAGATTTATCACCAGAGCAAAAACATAAAAACTTAATATTCTTCAACAGAACTTCCAGATCTCTAAGTTACATGTCTACCGCCTGAGTTATTTCCATACCGCTTGACCATTACTAGCCTAAGAGATTCGCTGAAAAGTTTCAGAGACCTGAACAAACAAAATGGTACAGGACATGCAGGTACCGGGCATCCATCGATCTTCTCCAGCCCCACGACCCCCTTGGCCCCCCACAGCTCGCAGCGGTGGGGAGCACTGTTTGCGAGCGCCTTTGGTGTGCACAGCTTTTCTGCCCGTCTTCCTGCTGGCCCTGCTGCAGGGGACAGGGTGCCGGCTGGATCAGCTCGGGGCTGTGCCTGGTTTCCAAGCGCCTTCCCTAACAGGCCCCTTCGTTAGCGCAGACGTGACCCTCCCACAGAAGTCACCAAGTGTGTTAAAGCATCACATGAATCCAGGCTCCGCAACCTACCTCAAGCAACATCTTCACATCCCATGCGTCCTTTTCTTCATTTGGGTAACTTTTTGCCATATTATAGTGCCTTTCACCAGGTTTTACCTCTTGTGGAGACTTGAGAATGCGAATCTATACTTAAAGAGACAATATACTTAGAACACTTCAGGAAAAAAGTCACAAATAATGAATACTGCATTGTTTTAGATATTCAAAAAGGACTACGACTCCAGGAAAAAACGTTTTGGAATCAGAATTCCATAAAATTATTCAGCTCTAAATATTAAATGTTTAAAAACAAAGGGAAAAGCATATGATATGGAAAACATGTCAATGACTGATTTGTAAGTTTATAAACATACTCCCAAATTTTCATTTCCTCTCTATTTAGTTGAAAAAAATGAGAACTTAGTCTAAAATATTTATTTCAACTATAGTTGATGCAGAGATGCAGAACAATAAAATGTACATCACTGTATAGCACAGGAATAAAAGATTATAAAGAACAGGGGCTATTCTCTGTACTTGTCGTACGAACGGACATTAACCCTGCTTAGAGCTAAGCCATGTTCAGCATGGCCGTGTCCGGTCGCTCTGGCTCTGCCTGCCTGTGGGAGGGCATATCCTGTCTGCTCCACCACGTGGTGAGCTCACTGGGGCGGGCCTTGCAGCTTTGATGGTGGGAGGTCAAGGTCAATTCTGGGTTGAAAGAGGAAACCTACTGTGACTGCACACCTGAACCACACCTTCCAATTCATCTGTTATCATTAAATAAGCTATGTATTTTTATCTCCTATATCACACCTATTTTTTCAACTGGTTCCAAGTTCCAAAGCAAAAAGGAGCATTATATACTGATCCCATTAAACTCAAACAAGCTGCAGCTATTTTAAAGAAGCGAGGCAGCTCTGCACGTGCTGTAATGGGATAATCACAAACACAGTCATGAAATGAAAACGCACAACCCAAGGAGCAGGGCGTCCCACCGATGTGTCAGGTACACATGCACACACATGCTACACAGGCACAAAGTGTCTCTGGGAAAACACGCATGAACTAGTGACGGGGACGTCTCTGGGGAAGAAACTGGTGTGACAGGCGGAGGGCAAGGCGACTTACTCTTCACTGGCTTTTGTACCACGTGTATATGTTACCTATTCAAACAGTAACTTAAAGAAAGAAAATGCAAGTAAAAGAATGGAAAAGGGAAAAATAATTCTTAGTTTTAGCAAGTACTATAAAAGTTTAACATTTATAAGAATGATATAATTTCATATATTTTTTAAAAATCTCTAAATTCTATTTACAGAACCTATAAGAATATGGTTAATTTAGTACAAATAGCCTAGAAAAAAATATAAATAATTTCCACAGTTTCCATAGCAAAGTGTCTGTCCAAAGCAATACTCAACTCAAAACAGTCTTTTTAATCAGTCATATCAATTTGGGACACTTCTTACTATGAGATACTAAGATGACACTAATACATCATGGCTGGACACACTCTATTAAATCAGGAGATTTTTGGGGAAAAGGGGTCTCACGGTTCTGCATATATAAGGGCCTTGCAACGCACACAGTAGTTTTCAGCGACTTCTCTAGGGGTCAGCACTGGGCCAGGGTTCTCAGGGAAGACAGGAAGCGTGCCGGAAGACAAAGAGGGCGAGGCCGGGGTAAAAGACCATGAATTCAGAGGAAGGAGAGATTAGAGCAGCAAAAAAGGCTTTCTGCCTAAAAGAAGCTTAAGAAGAGAAAACTTCACAATCTATGAATTATTAATACCAAAAGCGCTGTACAATTTATCAAATAAGAATCACTGGCATTTGAGAATATTTATTTATGATTACAATTTAAGATGAGTCTTGGGGTATGAATTTAAGTGACAAATATTTACATCACGTAACTCAGCTGAGCAATGTAAGCCACATCCGTTGACCAATACCTGCTCTATCTGTATTCCATAGCCTTTAAAACCTGCGTTGTCCCATGAAGTGTTCCGATAGATGTCATCAACTCTGTCAATCAGCTCTATCTGTGTGTATAAGAGAGAGAGAAGGAAACATGTATATCTTTACTACTTTTTGCAATGTGACAAATCCTGCTGGGAGAAAAAATCAGTTTAGAGAAAATGCCATTATAAAAGTTTCTACCAATTACAATTACAAAAACTAGCATAAAGATGTTATTCTTTATCATTGACAGCACCAACAAAGAAATTATTCCTAGTCCCAAATAAAGATTTGTTACTAGCATAAAACTGTGGTATACCTTATTACAAATCCCAGTGATCAAATGTATATGGAACCAAAATGCCAAGTAACAGGCTTTTTAAAAACTGCCATTCCAGTCAACTACAAAAATGGAAGTTAACAATCAATTCAACTAAAATATTCTTTTCTAAGAAGTATTCTGTCTTCACTCTGTCTCTTGGCAAGCTCCTCAAACACCCCCCTCAGAGAGAGGCGGGGAGCAGCGCCACCCGCTGAGCCTGGCCCCGGGCCCCAGCCCGGCCCCCACCAGGCAGAGCTGGGACAGCGGCCGACCCCGGTGCGCTGGAGGAACGAGCTTCTTACCCTCCTTCCTCCTGCGCTCTGACTGGGGAAGAGGGAAGGTGGGCAGAGGAGGACAGTACGAGAGCCGAGGGTGGCCCGCACTACCTAGGAGCAAAATGCTCGCTCCCTATCTTCTCCTCAAAGATAATGTTTTATTTTTCAAAACTGGATAGATGAGGCTTGTTCAGACGACTGTGAAGCACATTACAGGTGGGAAACTATTCTTTGCTTATAGTAACTTTAAGACTAAGAAACACAAATTTTAAGAGTAAACCTCTCATTATATTCATGTTCTTGGTATAATGAACAAAGAATTAAGAGGGGCCCTTTGATACAAAGCCCCATTAAGAAACTTTTTCAAGAAAGATCTCTCTTTCTTAGGAGTAAGAATTACAATGACTTCACACACTGCTCCTGCTAACCTGACAATGAATTCTTTCACTGACGGGGGAGAGCGGGGAGAGGAGGGTGAGGGGGCTCCAAATAAAATGGAGACTGGGAAAAGCGAGGCAATGAGAAAGAAGTCTTTGCTGCGCTGGCTCTCGGTTCATGAATAGCTGCATTCTCTTAGTTCCTAAACAACCTTTCGGTCGGCGCCAAGTTATGACAAATGAGGTCATACTGATAAAAAATTTCAATGAAATCTGATTCCCTTGACTTTTAAAATTACATAGTAAATGCTTAACAATCCCGTGCCCACACGTCTATAACCTTCCCTCCACATCTCAGCCCTACAGTTAGTTAGGGCCATGGAAGTCCCATCTACTTCACACAGAGTCCAATAACTGGCTATTTTATGACCCAAACCAAACTGACCATCTTCTCTGAAATATGCCAAAGTAAAGCACACAGGTTCATACAGATCCTTCTTCAACTCTAGAACACACATGCCCATGTGTCACCTATAAGATCACTGCCAATATAGAAGGCATGTTTTCAAAGAATTCACTTCTATAAAGAGAGGCCTACACCCTGGCTGGTGTGGCTCAGTGGACTGAGCACCGGCCTGCAAACCAAGGGTCACCGGTTTGATTCTCAGTCAGGGCACATGCCTGGGCTGCGGGCCAGGTTCCTGGTGGGGGACACGCAAGAGGCAACCACACACTGATGCTTCTCTCCCTCTCTTTCTCCCTCCCTTCTCCTCTCTAAATATAAATAAATAAAATCTTTAAAAAAAGAGAGAGAGAGTCCTAACCCTAAAATGCACAAAAATGCTAATGTGCAGAAAATCATAGTTCCAAAGTAAAACAGATTTTCAATACTCTGAATCTAGAATCTCTACACTGTAATATAAGAACCTCAGAGGACAGTCCTCAAATATTTCATAAACTAATAGAGCATCTGAAACAGGCCCAGTTTCATCAAGTTTCAAGTGACCACAGGCTCCTCTTAACTGGGATGTGGCTCCGGGCGGAGTGACGCTGCCGTCCCTCCCCAGGAGCAGACACTTACTAAGTAGTTGGTGGTGGTGCTCTCCTCCCCACGGCCCATGTGTCTGTAAAAGCGATGGTCCGCCACCACCAGCAATTTACACGTGTTCTTCAGGGAGTGAGGCTCCGCTCTTCTCTTCGCCCGATGAGCACGCTCTAATATGAATTTGTATGCACTATTAAATCAAAATTCATCAAAACAAGGAGTTTTTTTATAGTAACCCTTTAAATCTAGCATGTCTTTGAAACAAACATTACTTGAGCTTAGATATCTTGAACAAAAAAAATTTGGAGGAAGACAGAAAAGTAATATGAGGTTTTAAAACTGTAGAATTCAATACCAAGTAAAAGTGTCTCTGTAGTTTTTAAAAGGAGGCAACTTTAAAAAGCACTTAAAAGTAAAGCAATCACCTATCTACTGCTGGGCTCTTAAGCTCACACTTTTTTCTGAAGTCTACGAATTAACCAAAGTAAAGGTAAAAATATCAAGGTAATCAAACATTAAAAATTAGTTTGTGTTAACAGTTTGTTTTTCTTATCAAATAATCAAACTATTTAAGAATTTATTTACATACTGCAAAGTTAGTAATATTTTCTAAGGTTTTCAAAAGTTAGAACAGTAGACTATTTCTCCAACATGGTTGTTTTCAAACGACTCTAAATGGAACTGTCCCAAACTGAAAACCTTCTTCTCTCTAAACATTGAAGACCTCTTGTTACCAACTAACTTCTTATAAACTTATCTAACGGTTGTTTCACACCAGTATTATTTTGTCATTTTTAAATACCTGCAAATAAGAAATATTTCCCTCATATTATTTAATTCCCCTTTCCCCAATCTTTTTTTAAGTTCAGTCTTTATTGTTATCATTGTTTTCTAGTGTTTTCATTTCTTATAGGCAATTCTTAAAAATTTCTAAACAAAACTATTTTCAACTTGATACGCATTTTTTGTTTTTTTTAATCAATTAATAACCACCACTATTGAAGACAGCTGTAATGCTTGATTTTTACTTGAAATATGTTTTTTAAGTCTTACCATCATGGGGCTGTCTGTCTATCAGCCCTTCTGGAAGCAAATCTTCATTGTCCACCTTTATGTAACCACACACTTTCGAAGACTGCAAACGTGAAACATTCTTGATATCTTCAGATTTATAAACTAACATTCTTTTGTCTTTCGTATCGTTAATTAGTCTCCAAAGTGGCTGAAAAATGAAAAAGTATAACTAAGATAGAAAATACAAAAGTTTCTAAACATTACATTTTTACATCCTTTCTGTTTTTTGTTTTTTGTTTTTTAAACCCTCGCCCAAGGACACGCCTACTGATTTCAGAGCAAGGGGAAGGGAGGGAGAGAAATACCAGAGACTGGACCCACTGCCGCGGGCATGCGCGCTGAGCAGGCATCAAACCTGCAGCCTTTCAGCGCACGGCGTGACACTCCAACCGACTGGGCCGCGCCAGCCAGGGCCCCCCCTCGTTTCCAGACAGCATTCGTCTCCAGGTTCAGTAACCTGACCGGTCGTTTCATCAAAAATAAACCTCTCCAACTTTTATCATAGAGTCTCTATGCTGATAAATAAATACAGGGATTATTCATTCTTTGATGTTATCTGTACATAAAGAAAAGCATTATTTTGCACAAGTTATGAAATCTTTCAGAAGATGCAGAAGCGAACAGCCACGCCCTTTTCCATCTACTGGCACTGTTCTAGGTGACGGACACACAGCAGTGGAAGTGAGACAAGGTTTCTGTTCTTGGGCTTTTTCATTCTAGCTTCCTTAACATCTTTTTACGTAAGGGAAGAACCACCACATTTTCATGAGAGAAGACTAAAAACTTGTAACAACATGCCTAGAACTTACCAGTTTCGTGGAAAGCAGTTTTTACAAAATCTTCATTTACAGGATTTTACAAGGCCACGGTAAATCAGAATTAACAATACTCAAAAGGTTACCCAAGTCAAAAGGAAGTTTCTTCTACCGTATTTTGCTACACACAATGCACTCCTGTGTATAATGCGCACCCATGTTTTACTACTGATCGGTAATACCCACGTGCAATGCGCACCCTTATTTTCCCCACAAAAATTTGGGCAAAAAAAAGTACTCATTATACATGCAAAATGCAGTAATTTAAAACCAAGTTCTTCCCTGTGAGGACACTGGTCTCATCAGAACCAAACAGCCTGTGAGAAAGGTACAAAAATGATATAAAATTTATATACACATATACACATATGCATATATATATATATCTCCATATCCATCATGGAAATGAAAGCCAAAATTACAAGAAAACACTACTTCGTACCCACTAGGAAGGAGATAATCAAAAACACACCCAATCACAGGTACTGGCGAGACTGGGGACAAACCAGACCCTCAAGCACTGCCGGGGAGAATGTAATGCGGACTGTAAAACGCCCTGCATGTAAAATGGCGAGAATGCAAAGCGCAGCCACTAGGGAACACAGTGTCACCCTGTGACCCAGCAACCCCACTCCTAGTTTATACCCAAGAGAAATGAAAACATCTGCTCGAAACCAAAAACCTGTCCACAAATTACCACAGCACTATTCATAATAGCCAAAAAGTAAAAACAACTCAAATGTCCAACTGAAGAATGAATAAGCAAAATGTGGTCTATCCATACAACAGGAGGTTATCTGCTAATAAAAAGAAATGAAGTTCTGACAAAGCTACAACACAAACGGAACTTGAAAACATTCCACGTGAAAGAAGCCAGTCACAACAAATCACATACTGTGTTATTCCATTTATGTGAAATGACAAGGCAACTCTAACGAGACAGTAGTAGATCAGCGGGTGCCTAGGGCTAGGGGCGCTGGGGAGAAAAGGCTGGTGGGCTACTAAAGGGCCAGACGTTTCTTTTGAATGTCTGATCAAATGTTGTAAAATTGATCACGGTGATAACTACACAACTCTATGAACACACTAAAAACCACTGAATAATACACTTTCAATGGGTACATTGTACAGTACGTGAACTGCATATCAATAAAGCTGTTAAATATATATGTGCATGTTCTTCTTTCACACTCCACGTATGAGGCAGGTTTAAGAAACGATGGTCATAGAACCTCAGTGCTAACGCTCCAACTCCTCTGCTTCCAAAACCTGCACCTGGCCTACAAATAGGAAAAGAAATTTTTTTTTTTTTTGGTATTTTGGTACAAACGTTTCTAAATTCCTATTACTAGTTCTGTAATATAGCCCACCTAGCAGAGAGAGAGACAGCAGGCTTTGGGATCTGAGACACCTGGGTTCAAACCTCAGCTGTACTTCACACTGTGTGCCTTGAACAAGTAACTTATCTGAGCATAACTTTCCTCATTGGGTAAAGTAGTGACAATACCTATTTTGAAGATAATGTAAAATAAAAAATCTGGTTAGATATTAAGATTTCAAAATAAAAGCAGTTAAGTATCACTACTACTAAAAGCAAATCCTATTATCACCATTATTAGTAAGTTGCTGGAAACAAAACCATTTGATGAATAACTAAATAAGAGGTAAGAACTCTGACTGGACCCGAAACCTACGAGGGAGACATTGAGGAGGGGTGTCCAGGACCGTGCAGCGACTGGCAGCACGCAGGAGGCGGAAGCCTTCATTCAACCAGTGCTACGGTCACGCACCCCGGCGCTATCGCACCCCCCGGAGTGCTCGCATTTCCCTAGAAACACCGTCACTTCGCCCCACGAACCTGCAGCCAGCGTTCTGTTTTCTAGGCTAGTGCCTGACACATGGCCGTGTGTCCTGCACAAAGGCAAGCAGGAAAGTCTTGGTTTCTACGGCCAGGCCATCAATGAAAGAGCAGCCAGGGCCCGAGTTTCCTACAGCTCCCTCTTTTAACCTCACAGACACTAAACTATCGCCCTTTATTGATCTTGCATTGCCAGGCATCTGGGAGAAAAGAGGGGAAATGGATAAATAAGACTTTGCCTTCACCCTTGAGAATGTTTACACTTACAGGAGGATTACTAAAGAAAGAGTAAGGAAAAACTGAGTTACGAGGGGAAGTTTTCTCTTCCTATTGTACCCACCACATGTGACTTTTATATAGTACTTTCAAATATAGTACTTAGAAATACAAGGTGCATCTCACCCTGCTGGTGTGGCTCAGTTGGGTGGGCATTGCCCAACAAACCGAAAGGTCACGGGTTCAATTCTCTGTCAGGGCCCAGGCCTAGGTTGTGGGTTTAGTCCCCAGTCAGGGTGTGTGCAAGACACAACAGATTGATATTTCTCTCTCACATGAATGTTTCTCTCCCTCTCTTTCCTTTCCTTCCCTTCTCTCTCAAATCAGTAACCATGTCCTCAGATGAGGATTAAAAATACACACACACACACACACACACACACACACACACACAGAGGGTACATCTTATGATAGCTTCTTAGCTATTTGTAAAAAATATTATCTGTTTTTTTAAGTCACCTATTTTCCTGGTTAAAAAACTTTAAATACAAGAAAATAAGTATAATTACACTTTTGTCTTCTTAAAACAACTGAGAGACAACTTTTTAAAAATCAAAGATATGTAAGTGAAGTAAGTCAGATAGAAAATGACAAGAACCATATGATTTCACTCCTATGTGGGACATGAAACAAAAAGCAACAAACGAACAAACAAAACAAACAAAACACAAACTCATACAGGCAACAGAAAGGTGGATACCAGAGAGAAAGGGAGGGGGCAGAAGACAAAGGAGGGCAAAGGGGGTCAAATAATGGTGACCGGAGGAGACTGGGCTGCAGGTGGTGAGCACACCACTGAGTATACAGATGTCGTATTATAACATTGTACACCTGAAATTTATGTTATTAACCAATGTTATGCCAATAAATTTAATAAAAATAGAAAAATGAGAACAAAGATATATGCTAAAAAATTTCACACGTAGATTTACCTCTATATTATATTCTGCCCCATCTGTGTTGATCCTTATTGTAATATCATCATCTCCTACATGGGCTAGAACCCTAGAGTTAGGTTCACCTAAGAGAAAAAAAAACTTTCATTATTAAAAAAATTTACATCAAAACATAAACAATGCACTGCTGCCATTAGAAACAGTGAGGCCCTTCATCAGGGGGACCCCGCCCAGAGGCTGCAGGGACCTGCAGCCGCGGCAACACCCAAGCCAGCGGGGACTCCCCCTCAGGAGCTGCTCCCCCTCCAGCCGTCTGAAACCTCTCTCTGCCTCCAGCTTCATACGAGAATGCTCTAGAGTCTGTTTTAGAACAAAACAAACCAAAGTATAGATTTCTTTCTGGAATAACTTTGCCTATTTTGGTGTAAAAAAGAACTAAGAGAAAGCAGAAAGCATAATGTGGAACACAGAGTTCTTGAACTATAATTTGACAATTTTAATGCCACTTTTTCTCATTGTAGAAACAAGTTCCAGAAGTAAACCACAACTGCTAGTTTGATATATTTTCTTAAAGAAATACATAATAGGATCATAAAGTCAATTGTTTTATCTCCTAGCTTCCCTGTTTAAAATCTCATAGGGTGTCTACAAACCTTCTCTAGAGAAAAGAAGTTAAATTCTTATCACTTGAGGAGATATTCATTTTAATCATCAAACTAAGCCAGCCGGTGTGGCACGCTGGTGATGCCCACTTCGTGCTGTTTGAATGTTTCTGCATTCAAACTCAGAGAGCTCAAGTGACACAGAGAACAGCAGTTCTTTGATAGCCGTCCTCCCTCCCCACAGGAAAGGACATACAGGCAGGTGAGATCTGGGTGCCTAAGCCCAGACACAAAGGCAGGCAAACGAGCTCCATACTAACCGACCACATGTCCGCTGAAGAAGTCTTGCCACCTGACGTGGTACTCGCTTTCCTCTTTACCATCTACCACCACGACTTTGAAATTTTGGGAAAAGCGTTCAGTGCTTGATGTCAGGTATAATTTAAAATGCCTAAAGAAAGAATGTGTACAAATTTTACTCTAGGAACATAAAATGGAAACCTAATTTTCATTTAATTAAACTTCCTTTTAAAAAAAGTTGACATGCAACTTTGCGGTTTTACTAGGCACTTAGAGCACTCTATCTCCTGTAAAGACAAAGAGACTAACTTCTTTAGTTGTGAGAATCTGGCAGACGAAAAGCAACTAGAACTGGGGAAAAAAGACTCACACAGCTCAGGCATTCATCTTTTCTGGAGACTTGGAAGAATAAGGAAACACACATCTAGATAGTGTAAGTTGGGGTCCTGCTTGTTTTAAAAACTGATATTATTAGTTACCATTTATTGAACACTTACTCAATGCTAGATGCTCTTTATATCTTTCTTACCTCCACTTCACAGAGTAAAAATTGAAGCCTGGAGGTTAACCAACACACTCATGGTTATGGAGGTGGGAAATGGCGAAGCTGAAAGTCGGGCATGGTTTGTTTCAGAAGCCTGTACTATGCTGCCTCTAGCAATCAATCTGATCTTACTGCTGTGCAAAATCAGTCAATGCTACTTTTCTGTATTAAAAGCACTCATGCTTTTTTCTCCTTCTAAACAAAGCTTATCTTGAAAAAAATTAATCTGCAATACAACAAGAAAAATAAATACAAGGCAAAAACAAAACAGACATTAAAATACCACTACGGTTCTCTAGTTGGCTTAATATTCTTTTGTTTTCTACAATTTTCAGTCCTGACTTAAAAACTGGGCATGGTGAGCAAGAATTTTTCAATTATTATTTACAGAATCCTTTCGGTGTGCCCATGGACACCAAGGATAAAGAAGGGTATGTTTTTCACCTTACCCACAGGAACAGATTTTGCCAGCTGTGGTGTTGAAAATTAGAAATGTTACTTCCCCTGGGTCTGCACCAGTCTAAGCTGCCAGCATGTATCCAGACTGAGACTGTCTCCATGGCAACAAATATTTTTAGTGTTTCTGAGCATAACAAGGTAATTTTAGTTTGTGTGTGTGTGTGCGTGCGTGCATGCGTGCGTGTGTGTGTGTGTGTGTGTATGTGTGTTTAATGGTCACAGGGAAAGAGACAAGAGAACATCATTTCATAAACTCTTGGAACGTTTTCTCCTGCGATCCTTAAACCCACCTTCCCCACACTCACAGGTATGATTTTCCCATCAGTTATGCTGAGAACTTTGAAAAGCATCCCTGTTATAAATGCCTCATGATTTACTTTTAGTGCTCTCCAGGAGTCTCAGTATCACTTTTACTTAATGTTCTGTCCAGAAAAACCACTGGAGTTCTTCATTCCCATCACTTAATAATCTGCTCCATTGTAAATATAAGGGCAAGTGATGATAAAATTCCTGATTTTTGAGTATCTAAACTTTACCTTTCAGTTATAAAACCTCCAATAGAATGTCAGTCAGCATTTATATTTTACTCTGTCATCCCAAAATTATGTGAAGTCATGTACTTACAGGCTTCTTTGAGCATTTTCATTTATCTTTCTGACTTGTGATTTAAGGATTTACAGTAACTACAAACTGGTGTTAATCCACCTGAATTAACTTTTTTTTATTTTTTGTATGTATCACAAAATGACCATCACAATAAATCTAGTTAATATTCGTCACCATAATTTCAAATTCTTTTTCTTGTGATGAGAACTTTTAAGATCTATTCTTTTAGCAACTTTGAAATATACAGTACAGTATTATTAACTATAATCACCATGCTGTGATTACATCCCCAGAACTTATTTATTTAATATAACTGGATGTTTGTACATCATATTTATTTTAGATGATCCATAAACATATCACCATTACTGACACCTCTGGAATACCTATTTACTTTTTTTAAAATAACCACCAGTATGAATTTTAAAATAAGCAATAAACAATGTAAGAATCATGACAGACTAATTATATCAATTACAAATCTTTAAAAATGCAACTTCCCAAGATACTCTTATACACACCTGAAACTACAAAATACTGTATGTCAACTGCAATTGAAAAAAATAAGCTACAGGAAGGAAAAAAACCTTATTTTTCTATTTTTGCTAAACCAAGTCTCACTCACCCCAACATTTTTCTATGAATAATTCAAATTACCTTCTCAACGCTGAAAAAGTTAGTAGTGTTTCTAAATGTGTGGAAGCCTGCAGGTCTCTCTTTCTCACTGAGTGCTGACGGATGTTGGAGAGAGAGAGGATGTCGTAGTCTGAGAGCAAAGAATCAAGCTCCTCTGAAATAAAGGCAAAAAAAGGTATTAACACATAACCTATTAATCAATTGTAATATTTCTGAAATGAATCAGACAACAATCTCTTCCTAGTGTAACATGTTATGAAGTGCCCACACAAAACCTATGAAGCATTCTTACCAGAAAACACAAATTGAACCTGAATCTAACCGAGATCTAACTTCCAGTTTTGAAGACATAAATGTCAAATGTTGCCAAATTAAATACCCTTAGCAAGCAATCAGCCAGACCCAGAATGTTAGAATTCTGGCAGAACAAATGACCCAATTTCTTCAGGAAATAAATGGCATGGTAAAGAAGGGAGGGACAGAGAGCTAACAGAGAAGAATATGTCAAGCAAGCCAACGTGTGAACGCTTTTAGGTCCTCAGTCAAACAAACCAACCGAGGAAAGACACTGGTGACAATTAGGGAAATCTGAACGTGAGTCCATGTTCATATTCGACAGTGATCATTTTGAGACCTCAGAGTATCACATTGTGCAATGACCTAACTTCTAAATTAAAGGCATTTCTGGCTTGTATGTTTAGAATTCCTAAGATCAGGATGGCCAATTGGACCTACCCACTGCCAGCCTGGGCTCCATCAATTTCTTATCAGCTGATGTAGCAAGAAAGAGCAACAAATATATTAATGGCCTGAGTAAACTGACATTGGGAAAAGTAACCCTTTTACAGAAAAATCACATATTCCAAATTAAAGAGCGGAAAGTGATATCCCTGTTACTGCTGCCCTCCACCGATACGGCAGATTTTCAGTCCGGTGGACACCAGGAAGTAGGAGTGATAAGAACAAACTAATCCCTGGGGGGAAATCAACTTTATTTCACCAGACTGACCTGGAACGCAAGAGAAGCCACGACCACTGCTCCAAAAGTAGTACAAGTGCAAAAATGTTTTTATTTGATACAGAGCAAGAGTAAACGCTGTAAAGTACGTACTGCCCTATAAGTCACTTGTCATCAACAGCAACTCTGCTCTCTCTTCCAAAATCAGGAGAATTTTTGGAATACAATTTTGGTGACTTAAGTCTCTGTAGAAACTGTCTAAAAATATTTTAGCTGATGCTTTCCTTTTCTCTCAACAAATATCACTGCAGAAGCGATGGTATTCAAAACCATTCCACTGGACTTAGGATGTCCTCAAAATAGAGCAGCTTAAAATACAAGAGAATTGAGAATCACTATTGAGGTTAAACAGGCTCAAAAGACCATGTATAAAACAAAGAACTGACCCAGGACCCCTCTTCCCCTAAACTTCCTCAGCGATTCGGCCCTCACTCACTGCTATGCACCAGGTCCTAAGCTAAGTGCTTAGAGACAGCCTCATACAGAACCAAGCCCTTGCCTAGTGCAGTGCCCACTGTAATGCGGGAGAGCCAGGCTACGCACGAGCAAATACAAGTCAATGCTGTGAACAGTGAAGAAGGATGGCAGGCTCAGGGAGTGGGAAGGGCCCATTTATGAAGAGCCGTCCAAAGAGGAAAAATGCCGCCCTGTGCAACCCCAGAGACAGCTGGGGGTGGGCACGCTGCTATATGGTCAAAGTAAATTCTCTCAAAGTCACTCAAGAGTCGAACTCAAGGCAAAATTTCACAAAGTAGCAGCAAATTTCACACTTGCTGGGTCCCACCATATTCTGTTAACCAAATTTCCTTTTCAATTTAATCCAGAGGCCCTGACCTGCATGGCTCAGGGGGTTGAGCATCGACCTGCAAAAGGTCGCCAGTTCAATTCCCAGTCAGGGCACATGCCTGGGTTGCAGCCCAGGTCCCCGGTTGGGGGCATACAAGAGGCAACCTATCAATGTTTCCTTCTCTCACATATCGATGTTTCCTTCTCTCTAAAAATAAATAAACAAATAAAATATTTTTTTAAATAAATTTAATCCAGAGGAACACTGTTTCAGAAGGCATCAATCAATCACTTTTATGCCTATGGATGGTTGTTGGTGATGTGTCCTTGCTACTGTCTATAACGCTTAGCAGCTTCAATAAAAACCTTCAAGAAGCTTACCATTTATTTATTCAACAATTTTTGAGTGTTTGTTTCCTACAAGACAGCATACTGGGTGTTTTATATTATCTGCACAAACATCCCTGGGGTGCCACCCCCATTTTACAGATGACAAAGCAGACTTAGGAAGCACAGAACTGGGATTTGAACTTGGGCCTGCCTGGCCTCAAACCACAAGCTTTACCAATGTCACACTTTTTAAACTCCTTAAAGACAGGCTAGCTCTTTCTTGGACCATCTACTTTTTGGCCTCCTACTTTTTGACAAGACATCCAAACTTGACCTTGCCTCCATGTGAATTCTGAAACACTGTGCTTATTCCTTCCTTCTGGCACTTTTGAGTTATATTCATTTTACTCACAAATAGATTGTCAACTGGCCAAAAGGGAGCTCTGTTTATTCATCACAGTATCCTGACCTCACAATATCCAGCATAGAGCCTTGCAGGGAAGAGCACCCTTATGCTCACAAATTGCACAAATTCTCAGTGCTGAGATGCTGGTACAATCCTTCCCTCTTCAGCTTCCTGATACAGACAGGTTGGTACATGAACTCAGTTTCATTCAAGATCATAATCACTCCTACTGACTGAGAAACTCAACCTCAATACTGTAGTTTCATTGTCAATATCATAGGCCAATCCTTCTCAATGGGTGCTCCCCACAAATGCAGCAGCAGCAGCATCTGGGAACTTGTTCAAAAGGCCAGTTTTCAGGGCCTCCTCTCCCACTCAGTCAGAAATTCTTGGGGTGCAGCCCAGAACTCTGTTTAACCTGCCTTCCAGGTGATGAGGATGTGCACTCAAGTTTGAGATCCACTGAACTAGGCTAAAGTAAGGAAATAAAGAAAAAAACCTTTCAACACAAAGATGTCCATTGCTCAGCCTTGCAGTATTTTTACAAACAAAAATCAGAAATAAGGTAATAAATGGAAAACAGGTAAGTATGGCACTTCTAAATAACAAAAAAAAAAAATGCAATCATTTAAAATGCTTTTAAAAACAAGTTTTTAAGAACATGGGGAAATATTTAACATTAAAAAAGTAGATTTTAAAAAAATTTTATATTGCATGATCTTAACTACATATAAAAATAGGCCTAGAAAAAAATAATGAGAAAGAGTAATATCACTGATTATCTTCAGTATACTTTCTATATAACAAATACTTTTTTAAAACTGTAGCTTGCTAAAGCACTTTAAAATACTCCACTACGAATGTTTCGATTGTGACTTCTCTTACAACGGCTGGAAGGCCCCATCAGAGGTTCTGGAGCCCTTCGGAACCGCAGGGGGAAAGCACTGCCCTTGTCCAACAAACCGACCTGCTCTTGCTGCTGACCTTGAGCTAGCGAGTAACCTCTCAGATACTCTGTACTTCCCTGCACTTCACTTCCCAGATTTCAACCATTGGTACTATCAGCTTTCTATAGTTTTTCAACAGAATTTATATTTCCCCCACTTTCCAAGAGTTTTTAATCCTTTACCCATATCCAAATCTCTCAATAAATTTAATATAAAACACTTCACTATCATTCTGAGCTCAGTGCACGGTCATAATCTCTGTTAAAAATTCTACAATGGCTGCCCAGCACTCTTCAGAATGAGAACATCTTCCTTGATTTCTACAAATTACTCAAGCGCCCACCCTAAACTTCTGAGCCTTTCTCATTTTGGCTGGCCACACACACCAATCAGAAAACAGACCATTCCAAAGGTCAGACTAGAGCACTCCACGATTTGGGCACCCCCGCCCACCCCCGCCCACCCCCTCTGCTCTTCTCAGCCACAGGCACCGTTCTGCACTTGGCCTCCCGTCTAGTTCTCCTTAGAGACCCCCACTTCCCACTGCTTTGCATCTTTTCCACTCCCCGCCCCCTGCCCCTTTCTTGCTCACACATTCTGCACTTCATTTTTCCCCTCTGCACCAGGCTCCACCTACTCACTTATTCACTAGTTATTGAAAACCACCTACCTTCCAGGTGCTAGGAATATAATGGAGAAAGAGAAATATATTTCCGATATTGCGACATTGGTGGAAAGACTGTCGCACAGAAAATCATTATGAAGTACGTCAAGCACCGAGGGACAGGGGTTGCGGGAAGTCAGAGAAGGGCACGGCAGGAGCACGCCCTGCCTGGGGAGCCAAGGCTGCTTTCCCAGGGAAACAACACTGATGTTCAGACCAAAAGGATGAGGAGGAAGCCAGGAGAAGGAGAAAAAGGAGCAGGTTCGAGGTAGAGAGCGTAACATTTGCTGAGGTCTACAAGAAACAAACAAAAAAAATGGAATGCTCAAAGCAACAAAAGCAACTCGAGCTGGAGTGCAGAACCACACAGAGGGCATGAGGAGGTGGAAGGCTGGGAGAGGCAGGCGGGGGTCGGAGAAGGGCCACGGAACCAAGTGAAGGGCTCTGGTCTTTGGATACGGCCAACAGCTAAGAGTGAGAAATTCCACTGTGCCTGCAGTGTGGAGAGTGGGCTCGCAGGAAACAGGCAGAGTCGGGGCAATCAGCTAGTCAACAGCTGGCCAGTTCAGGTGCAGCTCATGAAAAGACCCCCAGACGTCTGGCGTGGGTATCTGGGAACACAGTGGCACCACATCCACTGAGATTGAAAATAAATAAATAAATAAATGGATAGATAAATAACCCGCAAGAAGGAACAGGTTTAGATGAGGGTTAGATGAGGGGCTGATATAAGAAAGCAGCTGGATGTTTAAAGATTCTGGTGTCCTGGTGTCCACACTGTATCTTGTCCCTTACACATAGCTTACAATTACATTGTTCATTTACATAGGGCTTTTTCCATTAGGTCATCATATGTTTACGATTATGTTACTGATAAGTCATATGGTGATTTTAGGTGGGGAGAGAGTAAATCTGTTATTGCATGACTTTCATCGTTGACATCAATGGTAAAAAGCAGCAGATACTTTGTTCCTCTATATGTTCTCCAAGAAGAGAAAGCTAGACCTTCAGGCCTGCAATAAACTGGCTTTTTCTTTTATTAAAGATTTCATTTACTTTTAGAGAGGGGAGGGGGAGAGAGGGAGGGAGCCAAGCATCAACGGGTGGTTGCCTCTCAAGCGCCCCCTACTGGGGACCTGGCACATGCCCTGGAGCAAAAAATCAAAGAGGTGACCCTTTGGTTTGCAGGCAGGCGCTCAATTTACTGAGCCACACCAGCCACGGCTAAACTGGCTTTCTAGATGTAGATGCAGAGTGGCCTACAGGAGATTTGATAAACCTTCCACTCCACCACTCCCTTAGGCCTAAATTGTTTCATTTCTGGGAAAAGCTTTTATGGCCACTGACTTTGGAACAATGACAAAATACACCCGTATTTCTTTCCTCAAGCCCAGAATCAACATTTTTTTAAACATAAAAATGGCTTTTAAACAATTAAATATTGAATGAGAAGAGTCTGGGAACATTTGTGGATTTTTTACTTAAGTTGTCTTTTCTTTTCAGAAATACAGCTTCCAAGTGCAACAGAGAAGCCCTGTGGCCCTCTGCTCGGGCTCTACTGCCCTGCTGCATGGAGTACAAAGCGCTCCTCCAAAATGACAGTCAGTGTCACGCTGCCACCTGCAGTGTTGGAAGTGGAAGAGAGGGAGCCAGAACTGCTGTCAAGCGTTCACTCTGCTTGTGCCGAAGACACGCGAGCCTGACCATTCTTCAGCAGTCCCCAAACCACTCAGGACGAGGGTGTGGCCTGGCCAGGCTGCCGTGCAACAAGCCGTAAGCATGAGTCCTTGGGGCTCAGAGATAAGAAAAGAAGAGTAGTAGTCTCTGCTGGGCAGTGGACCCCAGGGCCTGGACACTAACACCTTCATTTTATGGGTGTATTCCAGTTCGCAGGGATGGAGGAGGAGCCATCCCAAATAACTGCCTGCCAAGAGCCCTTCACCAGGGCTAGGACGTAACCTGGGCCAAGAATCTCCAGCAAGACCTGTCAAGTGGAAGCTGAGCTCAAGCGAAAGTCCACACAGCCCAAGGGAACCTCTGGAGAAAGCTGGACTGGTCCACAAGACACCAGAGCTCAAAGGGATGCAAACACAGTGCAGGCAATGCGATTACTCCCACCATTTCCAGCGCCCCTGCCTAGTCCTGGACTGCACCTTCTCTCCCACGCTCATTCTTCCGATCAAACAAATAGGTACGTCATTCTGGACGTGTTATATTTGAAACATCTGTGAATGCTGAGGGGGCAGCATCACGTGGGCAGATGGATACATGAGTGCGCAACTTCAGAGAAATATCTACGTCAGAGACAGTAGTTACCAGAACACAGTCAAAAAGTGAAACCAAGGCAGCAGATGAGCAGCAGATGAGACTTGTGAGAGGCGAAACTCATGATAAAAGAAAAAAAAAAAGAGAAGTACAAGAAGTAAGATACCCATGTCCTCGGTTGCTTTTGGGACTAAGAACTAAGTTAAGGGATACATGACAAAGCACTTCTGTCCACTCCCCTACTTCCGTGAAGTCTGTCCTAGCCCCCCTGCCCTACCTAACTTTTTCATCCTTTCCTCAAATTATACTTCCCACAAAAAACACTCATTGTCTCTCATAAGCACCACATGGCGAAGAATCCGAAAGTCAACCACATGTGGCCTGGAAGGACACCTACATTTAATGTTCTGGAAAACCCATCAAGGTGAAAAGGATTTCTCGTTTCCCCACCAGGGCTCTCTGCTTAACTCTTCTCTTCGTTCCGTTCTACAGAAATACAGTTCACCTCTGACTGGTAAAAAGCAGAGACGCATTACATCTCCCTTGCAACAGTTAGGGTGGTTATGTGTTTGGGTTTAAAAAGAATGCGGCCTGTAAGCAAAATTAACATCAAAAGAAGCCGCCAGATGTCCAAACACTGAGCAAAATGGGGTCGTCAGTAAGGAGAACGGAGCCCTGCAATGTGGAGAATCCCCACACCAAAAACCTCAAAGTAACTTCCTAAATGTGTGGTTCAGATACAGCTTTCATTCCTCATCTGTGACCTACATTTTTTCTTTCCACCCACTACATCCTCTTTTATTAAAAGTAACACAAAGAGAAACTACTTTTGAAATCAAAGTGAGACTTATACACCCCAGCTGCAACTTCAAGATATCATCATGACTAAGCTCACATGACTCATAACTTTCCTAAATTATGAAATTCATAACAGTTCAACTGAAATCACTTTGAGCGACCCATGGAGCACTCCAAAAGCCAGGATTCAAATCCCTAATCAATATTTAGAACTGCAGCCGCAGTAACATTTACAGATAAGCAAGCTAATAAACGACGCTCTGGGACCATGAAACTATTCACTGGTCTTGATCAATTCAACCTAAATAATGGTAGGGTTAAGTCAAGCAACAAATCATATCCTGAGCCATCAAAAACACAAAGTTAATTCTCTTCAAGAGAACAAATACCCACAAGACATATTTATCACTAAGTGAACCTGACAACATACTACACCTTTCAAAACCAAGACGTGCTCCCTGAGGTTAATGTCAACAAGTTCTAAGTGCCCCAGCAGGAGGGTCCCTAACTTAAAGCCTGGGCTCCAGCAGCACCCGCTTCAGGCCGGGCCTGGCCCCCGAGGCTGGGTTCGGCTGCCCGCAGGGAAGACACCCCCGCAGGCTGGGCTCCGGTCGTCTCCGCCAGGGGGTTAGCGAAGGTCTGTGCAGAGCCCCCTCTCCCGCTCTGCCAAAAGGGTGCCGAGGACGGTGCCTGCGGTCTTAGGATTAATATCTCCAAAGCCCCGCACACTTAGATACAGTACGTGTTCTTCAAACAGCTGGTGAATAAGTGGTAAGTCCATGCATTTTTCTGGCACCCGTGTTCTGCATCTTGCAAATAAAAAACACATGGCCCGAAAAAACCCCTAATGATCTCTGACTGTGGCCGGTAACCGATCTGGAAAGCAAGGTTTTCCTCTCTACCGTGTGCCTCCCTGGGACTCACGCTTATTCTTCCACCTGCAGTGATAATAAAAGTGAAACAGCTGTGTTAGGATGAAAACTTTCAAACCTCAAAATACATGTTTATTCTTTTTATTAACATCAACCCCCGGGGAAGCGGAGCCTTATCCTCGCCTCCCCCCACTCCCGTCCTGACCGCCCTCACCTCAAAAGTTGCCTCCAACCTGCACCGACCTCCCGCACCTTCTTTTCTCGCCTCTCCGCGCGCCCTAACGCGCTCCGTCGCCTTCCCTCTCGGCTGGAGCCACAGCGCGGTGGCGGCGGGGGGCCGGGGGGGGGGGGCGCTCACCACCTGCCCTGCCCTCAGTCGTTTACAATTTCTGTCCATTAACTAGGAAAAAAGGAACTGCCGGATAAACTAATGCACAACCTTTAATCAGCCATTCAGAAAATCGAGATGGTGTCAAAATCTGCACCACACTACACGTTAAGTCATCACGGGATTTGGGGACCAGAGCAACCATGGAAATTCCCTGGGGCCACAACCTCGCACACAGGGAAATCTGTTTCATCCTTTTATTAGGAACTCATCAAACGGCCTCGCAGGTCGCCCGTCGAAGGACAAAGGTCCTCACAGACAGTACAAGTGGACACAAACGTCCACCAAGCTTCGACCCCGTTAATGTGCCTCCATCCTTAAAATCCAATTTCTTCAGAAAGTCTAAATAAGAACGCTCTACTTTCTAGCCGCAAAACGGCTCCAACTGGCCGTCCCTGACCATTTCTTTGTTTAAAATGGCCAGGAAAACATTCCCAGGAGCGGCATCTCGAGCGGGCGGGGCCGGTCGAAGCGCTCCCTGCCGCGAGCACCTCAAGTTTAAGTTACAATTTCAATAACCGAGGGCATGCTGACAAGGCCCGCAAAACGCAATTCCAGAAAGGTTTCCAGTCAGCGCCCTCCACTCAGCTCACCGCACGAGCTCCCCCCGCCAGAGCGCCAGGAACCGCCGTGGCGCCGCGGGCCCTCCCGGGCTCCTCCAACACTGGAGACGCGCAGGGACCTGGGCCACAGCGCCCCCACCCCTCTACCTCTCTCGCGCCCGCAAGCCCGCGGAGCCGACCCCCCTCCCAGCCCTCCGGGACGACGGGAGGCCGCCTCCAGGGCCCCTTTCCCATTCAGAGGCAAGCCCGTCTCCATTCTCTCCCCAAACTCCGAGCCACACCCCCCTCCTCCTCAGAAAACTTTGAGACGCGCCACAGTCGCCCAACACCCCGCCCCCAAACACCGGCTCCTGCTCCTGCTCTTCCCCGAAAGCAGTGCGCTCCAGGCGCCCGGCGCCGGCCTAAGCCAACCTCCCGGGACTTTACCGAGTCGCCGCGGGGAGCCCAAGCCCGGCTCGTCCGGAGGTCGCCGCGCCAGCACGAAAGGAACTAAGCTGGTCAGGAAGAGGAGACACTGCCTCATGTTCCCGCACCACCGTTTCCACCTTTCTAGGCAGCCTTCGCCTGACGGGGGCTCGGGACACGGATCACATTGGGAGAGAAAGGGATCCGCCCGCCCGGCCCCTCAAACCACCCGTTCCTCCCGCGCCGCCTGCAGGAAGACTAGAGCCGGGATCGAGGCCCCGGAAGTGCAGGCAGAGCTCCGAGAGGCCGGCCTGGGCCACTTCCGGCCTCCGCCCCCCCACACCGCCCACAGACGGAAGCCGGCGCCGCGCGGAATGCCGGGAGGCCCTCGCTCGCTCCGCCCCCGCCAGCGCCCCGCCCTAGTGCAGCCTCTCCGCCTCCCGCTTCCGTCTCGCAGGAGCTCCGCAGGCGCCTGCCCGGACGCGACCCGCGATGTCCTCGTTTGACCTAGGCCGACCTCGCCTCTGTCCCCGGGTGACCGCTCTGAGGGAGGCGGGAGCTTGGGAGCAAGCCCTCGAAGGCACGTCCAGCCTTCTCCCTCGTCCTGGTCCCACCGTGCGTTTTACAAAACAAGCTGTAGAAACCGCCCTGGGGTCCGGGACGGACGAGGAGGTGCATCTGGTCCCGTGAGCTCCAGCGAATGACCCAAAAACGAAATGCCGAGGACGAAAGACCGGCTCCCAGGAGAAGCCGGCGCTGCCCGGCTTGGGGAGCCCGCCTCCGACGCAGATGGGTCCCGCTTGGCTTCCCCGCTCAGCAGGACCGCCGGCGACGTTTTAGGCCCCCGTCCACCGTAACGAAAAGGCTTTGTGGAGGGAAATAAACAGGAGCTTCACTGCGTAATACACATTTCCTCGTGGTTCCCACTGTAGGTTGCAACTATGCAAGCATTTCCAGAAACTAGGATCTTCGACCTAACTCCTCGTCTGTGAATTCAGAAGCCAGAATCTCCCAGCTAACTTACTAAAAATCAACAATCTGCATGCCTGGTCCCTTTAGCTTAGATTCCAAGTTTCCCAAGGCAGTTGGTGGTGTGCTTTGCAAGTCCTTTGCATAATTTTAGCTCTGCAGTTTAGTAGTCTGTGGTACTGAATAATAACGTTGGATGCATATTGCTATTTTGGTTCAACTAAAGTTTATGCAAGTAGGACATGACACATTTTCCGCCTAAGAGACAGCCTCTTCATCGTGAAATGATAAATGGTTAGGAATAGAATATTGGTCCTGCCCGTTGAAGTTTCACGGCTAGTTCCTAATAAAATAGTTCAACTACAATTTCCGCTTAGGTTCATTGTGGTACGCCTCAGTAAATCACAGCATCTTTTCCAACAATTACCTATAATGACTGGCTTTGCGCATTTTTGACCTAACGGAACCTAATTGTGTTCATCTGAGGTATATAATGTCTCCATTAAACATACTCATTCTTATCTGGGTCCCATTACCCAGTTGCAAACCCACTTAGTAATTCATACCCCACGGAAGCCCATAAACCTCTTTGCGAGGTGAGGAAATCCTAACTTAGCCATCCCTGCGGGGTTTAAGTACTTCTTGGTAGTCTTAGGCCAAGTCTGTGGAATGGTGCAGAAAGAGTGTCTGAGGACAAAGAAAAAGAATCTTTACATAATCCCCAAGCAATATCGCTCTCAATAAATATCACTCCCAAGACTGGGAGCGTTGCCTTTTCTCTAAAGGCATTAGCAGTCTCACTGCTCAGCACGTTCTAAGACAGAAATGTTGCCAGTCTCACAGTGCTAAGTGCAAGAGACCCAACAATGCCATCATTAAAAAATGACATTATCCCCAACGGTAAAATGTGTACTGTCACATTCCTAGGACATGGGATGCAGAGAAACCTTTAACCATCCAAAAGAAATGGTTTCACTCATTTGGAGTCAATTTTATATTATCTCACAATCCACTAGTCACATAAAAACTGATTTCACAAAATATTATTCTTACTAACATGCATGTATTTTTCCATTCTATTTCACTTAAAAAAAAAAAAAGTTGGCTGGGACCCAGGATCCACTAACTGGTCATGACCTGAGTTTAAAAAAGCACTGATCTACTGCTGCTGCTTTAATCTCCAAAAAAGGGCAGCATAGCACAGTTGCTAAGAGTAGACCAGCTTTAAACCCACATCCAAATCCCAGCACCTCTCAGCCACAAGTCTTAGCTGAGACTCATGCCCTAGGACATAGGCCTGTTACCTCATCCATGAGAAAAACCTACTTAAAACTTTTATGAAACGGAGCTGCATTTGTGAAGATGCTTCCAAACAGGACCTGTGGAAGACAAGTCAGGGCTCCGGACCGCTGGCCCCAGATCACATGTAGCGACCAGTCGGGGGAAGCCTAAGGAGAACCCTGGCTGAAGGCCTTTCCACGAGCACAAAGCTCTGACCCTCCCCTTAGCATTGACCATACAGGACCTTCGGTGTGAAGCATACAAGTCAAAGAACGTATTTGAACTGTTAAGATTGAAAAATAATGCTTGGTAATGCTTATTTTTACTTTCTGAAAGTTATTAGAAGGCTCACACCTTTAAAAAATTACTAGAGAAGTATAAACTAAAGCCTTCATTTTCTAAATCTGAGCGACAAGAGAACTGCTGAGGATGTTGTTAATTGCGACCGGTTCTTTTGCCTAGTTTCAGGCCGAATACCAGCTAGTTGCCGGGACCTTGGGAAAGTCCACTGGTCACTTTGGACTTGTATCCATGCATGAATTAGGTCCAACATGGCCTAATTAACACTCCTTGAGCTGCACAAACAGAAAAACAAACCCAAACCTCCAACTATGGTAGAAAAACAGATAACTAACCCTAATAATTGGCCATAGTAAGCAAGCTGAAACACCAACAGGCAACAGCAGCATAGAAATGAACTGGGCGTGGCATCTGAGGTCAAACTCTAGGTCTGTTAAGAGACAGAAAACTTTGGACGAATAATTTCATTTTTTTTTTTCAAATGTTACTGGTCAAGGGGAAATTTACTTGGCAGGGCAGTTAAGAGTAGTAAATACAAATGTGTAGAGCACATGACCAGGCCCCCAGAACGAATTCAGTCGACACCAGTTCCCCGTAACTGAAATGAAAAGGCTAAGCAATTTATGGGCGTGTTCAAAGCGTTTTCATTTTAAAGTGAAGATGCGGAAGTCTCCAGCTTCAGCCCTTGCGTGGTTATTATTACTTACTCCATTTACAGCATCGGCTCTGAAGGTGGAGCCACTTGTTAAGTAAAATTTTGCTCAAAAGTAGAAGGCAAGTCTGCCTCAGATTGGATCACATGTTCAGATTACTGAAGCACCTGATAAATGGATCAAATAAGTCATGGGGCAGCCCATCTGGTGTGGCTCAGTGGACTGAGTGCCAACCTGCAAACCAAAGGGGCAGCGGTTCACTTCCCCACCTAGGACACATGCCTGGGTTGCCAGCCAGGTCCCCAGTAGGGGGCGCGGGAGAGAAAACCGATGGATATGCCTCACACCTTGGACGTGTTTCTCTTTCTCCCTTCCCCTCTCTAAATAAAATCTTTAAAAATTAAAAATAAAACCTTTAAAAAAACAAAAAGGTTAAGTATTAGTTTTAATATTGTCAGATAGCTCCTACCTTAAGAGTCAATAAAATCAGGCTCATAGTTTGACAAAAATGGTCACATCCATTATAATAGGTCTCAAATACTTTTGAATGTCTGGCTCAACTCAAAAATATCAGACCATTAAAAATTAGATTAGATAGAATTCCCTTAAATCATTTTTTAATGGTCTGTTATTTTATTTTACTCATATTAGAATTTTTACATCTTTAAATGGCCTTCCTAGAGTTATGATGTTAAGTCTTTACTAATATCTAAGTTATAGACATGACTGTGTTTTACCAGATCCTGTCCCTCCAAACATGCCTTTCTTCTTCCCCAATCAAATCATAGCTGAACTGTGTTGGGAGAGCAATCCCTAATGCTTCTATTTCTGTTAGAAACTCCCCAACTCCAACTATTTTATTAAAACTTCCTTTTTTTCCCCACTTTCCCCGAGGAAGGGGTCCCCTCTCCTGCTGAGTTCCCCGCGGTGTCCCATGAATGCCCCCTCTGCCTCTAGCGCTGGGAGACCCCCAACTCGGGTCACGCAACAGGCTGAACCACCTGAGACAGATGCCAACTTCTAGAGCAGGGAGAGATGAAGTCCAGGACTGAATGCTGCGAGTAACCTCCTCTTCAAGCACCTACTTTAGTAACTCACAACGATTACTTAATTCAGTACTTACTTAACCACTTCATTGTTCAGATACAATGTTTTCTAACACAATGTTTCCATGTCTACTGAAATGTTTCAAGTGTCTTACTGAATGTACATGCTAGAGCAAACCAATTTTTTGGTTTGTAGTTAGCTGAGATAGTAACATGATGGAAGCTGTTGTCCTCTGTGGTACTGTTTCTCATTGAGCCCGTGGCCGTTGGTATTATAAAATGACGTCCAACTTTGGGACCCTGCAGTTAGATTCAGGTGTATTACTAATTTTGTTAAATTTTATTTCACTTATTGCTGTGATTCATTTATTTCTGTGTAGAAATTTATGATATTGAGGTCATTGACATTTTAGTTAAAACTGCATGTGTATTTTTCTAATTTCCATGTTATAAAAACAAAAATTGTTTAAGAGAAAATTAGTAGACTATAAACGTAAAATTTTGAATTACCAGTTAATCGATAATGATGTAGCCAACTGTTTATGTAGTTTTAGTAACAATTCAATAAATGACTGCTTTAGAGTAGTGGAAGTCTCACTTCTAAGTTTCCTTTTTGCTGTTTCCATCTTAGAGGTTAAGTGGCCTCAAATAAAGGCGGTGAAGAAATGTTTTGATTTCTTTCAAACTTATAAAGTACATCTGGAAGAATAAATCCCCATCTGGTTCATGGATTTCCTTCATGGAGATGATCCAAATTCAGTGTCAAGATCAGAGTTTGTACTTGTGGGTCTGCAGAGTCTTGTGTGGAATTTGAAATATTTTGTCTGCAAGTAGTTGGGGAAACAACTGTTTCAGATGTTTGTGTCAAGTTCTAATTTTAGATATATTTCTCCCTCATTAAAAATGAAAAAGGGCTCTTACTGTTTTAGATTTTTGGGGACCAAAGTCCTAGTAATCTTATTTAAATAAGTATTTCCCTAAGTCCCATTCCATTCTGTCTCCCCATTTCCCCTCAGGAAACAAATCAAGTGCAAACAACTTGTTTCACAGTCACATTTTAGGAGATAAAAGATTAATCTTAGCTTGTTTTTTCAGATTATCTTTTGACTTTAAATTATCTGGTGAATACTTACAACAGGTTAGTGTAACAGCCACTGTGATTCTATAAAACCTAAGTTATTTGGAACTCACTAGTGGTACAACTCAAGGTTTACAAAGGGCATTATCTGAAAACTAAACAAAGTTCTCCTGTCCCCTGACATTGTTTGAACATCCAGAGCTTTCATAAATCGCATTAACTTTTCTAGTTTTATAATGTCCACTTTATTCCATATAGCACTTAACTAGGTATCATTTACATCCAAAGAGATGGCCCACAAAACTGATCTACGGATAAAACACTACCTCTAAGAAATGTAGTCCAATTTTATTCATTTCCAGGCAACCCTAGCCAAGTGTGTCACAATGCACAAATATGGGGATCGCCACTACATGGTCCATAAAAGGGAAGGACCAATAATAAACTTTAGAAAGCGGTAGTTTCGCCTGTCCTTTAAAACAGAAGTATGCAACTGTTACAAAGCCATAGTAAATGGTTTATAAAATGTAATTTTATTTTACGTTACTCTGCTGTTACATAGGGCATAACATTTTCACAAGGCTTTTTTGGGACTACAGTCAATGATTAGCAACACACAATAGTGGTCCAACTCTCTAAGTAACAATCACTAGACAAACCGGACACCCTCTCACATGTGCACAAATCTGCATGGAAAAGTACTAAAGTTTTAGACTTGGACTTGTGTATTCAACTGATTTCCCCATTCTACTGCATTAAGAAATGACATGCACTTTAATTTGCCAAAAGCAAGGCTTGTGTTCTGGCAGCAACATGCTACTTCTACTACACGGTAAAGTGAATACCAGAACTGCAAAGGCAGGAGGTGTAAGTGACTTTTTATTAGGAAGGGAAGTCGTCAACGGAAACAGCAGCAAATGAAGAGGAAAGAAGGAAACCCCCTGTCGCCACAGACGCAGAAGCCCTCCACTGTACGACACAGGGGGCGTCTCAATCTGTGACCCCAGCCCAGGAATGCCAAATGCTTTTTCGTTCAATCTAATGCTCCTGGATTCCTACCCAAAGGAATACATGAACGTGGAAAAGCTGCTTACTGAAAGGAAACCCCCAAAGAAGAGCAAGGGAGGGAATGTAGAAATCAAGAAGTTATGTAAAACACTCTTTAAATTGTAATTAACTACATTTTCATATCTTCACAGTAATACAAAACACAGTCACTTGCAGAACTGGTTCAGATTACTTAAATACCAGGTACATTTTTAGTCCTCTACGTAAGTGTTGGGAAGTTACTTATGTGTACGTGAAATGAAGCTATTAATACTTTTCTACAGCAGTAACTGCACACCAGGAAGGCCAAGACAAACACAGATCAAGGCATGGAGTTTTCCCAAAGCTGCAGTGTGAAAAGACTATAAACAGTTGATTCCATACACATGAACGGGTTTCTTTGCTCTAGGAAATCCAAATGGAGTAAGGAATGGAGATGTGTACAAAGGTTTCCGGAGGGAAGGAGGGTGACACCCTGTCCGTAGTTAGTTTTCTGCCCCCTCTGCCGCGTCACATTCTTCTCCGGCGCTGTCTGATGTCCATAGCTGGGGGAGGGGGGGGAAATCACATTAAGTTACTGTTTCCAGGGTAAACAATTATGCCAAATCCTCCTAATATATCAAATGTAATTCTGAGAGCAGTAAATTACTCAAACAATAGAGATTACAATTAAGACAGAAAGTTATAGTTCCCAAAACCCTCAATACCACCAACTCCTCCCCAAAGTGTGTCCCTGCAGACTATTTACAGCACAGCTACAAAGTGAGCACATACACACTATCTGAGCACGTTAAACAATTTTTCTATTTACTGATTTGAAGGGGGGGGGGGCAGAGACAGAGACTGAGATTTGTTGTCTCACTTCTTTTTATGCATTAACTGGCCGCTTCCTGTATGTGCCCTGACCAGAGATTGAATCCGCAACCTTGGCTTATCGGAACACTACTCTAGCCAACTGAGTCACCCAGCCAGGGTTAGCCGAGTACCTTTTAAACTATACTGTTTCTAAGTGCTATAATTTCAGGAAAAAAGCAAGGTGATTCATCCTTACAGTTTTTGCTCTCTCATTTCCAGCAGCTCAAAGCTCTTCATGAAAACACTACTGAAATATAACTTGAGATTCATAAGGCAAAACATTTTAAGGGAAGGGGAGAGACCGTGGTCACAGTAACTTTTCAACTAGCTGAACAGCTCTCATATGGCAGAAAAGTCACCTCGCTGTGTGTTGCTGCGGAACTGAACAGGAGTGGGTGACACAGTTACAGGAAGACGCAGGTGTGCACGAAGATATGAAGGAAGGATTCATGAGCCAGGTGGGATATTAAAACAAAACTGATCTCTAAGGATCTAATTTTAGGGTAGAATGATGAAGTGAAAATGGAAGAGTCAATATTCATTGACTATATAATCCATAGCGCACAAAATGGATTTCTATTAGACCAAGACACTACTTGAATTTCAGAAAAGCAGGAATCTTATATAATCTTTAAGTTATCATTAAGATACTAATATAAATAAAAACAAAACAAATATCCCTGAAGAACTGTCTCCATAAGAAAGAAAAGAAAACCAGTGAAGAGACAGACAGCAGCAGGCGTATCTGGGAAGAGGCCTAACTGCTCAGTTTGTGCTGCTTCTACAGAAGCTGCTCACACTGATCGTAACTGTCACCTCAGAACTACAGGGATTCTGGTCTCTGCAGTGTCCCCGTTCATCAAAGCTGAACGGATATGGTGCTGGTATTAAAAAGAGTCCCATTAACAAAGGTAAATACAAAGGTAAAGCCGCAAACCAGGGCGTGGGGGGAGAACTACATTTACATTTAAAAGGGGGGTGGGTCCGTCCCCTTCTTCCACATTTTGTCTAAGGTTCTGACATACCAAATTTGCTTGAACCTATAAAAGACACTGACTAATAAAGCTCAACCTGTATTTTCTTCTCCATTACTTTTTCTTTTTCATCTGCTTGTCCAAGAAGTAGGAGGAAAAACACAAAGAGAAAACAAATTTAAAATGGCACGCAAGCAGCACAGAGGGCCTGGCGCCGAAACAGAGGGGAGCGCGTGGCGGCGATGCCCGCAGCGCACCACGCGCCGTTCACCAGGAGAAATTTTAGAATCGGGCACTTCGTGTGATTTTAGAGAAGCTGAAACTCCCTAAATTCTCCATGTTAACACGATTCATTCACATCTCCATCCCAATTAAACGATCAGTTCTGTTAACTGATTCTGAGTTCCTGCAGCTTTTGTACTTTCTCAGGAAGGTCTGATAAAACGCCTATTCAACCTGAAAACCCGCCTACAAAAGAACAGTTGTCCTGTACAAAACACTGACAAGCACATAATGCTTTTATTTATGTATCCATATGTTCATTTTCGAAGAGGAAGTGTAGCTGTTATATGACTGCCCCAAGAGATACGGAGCCTGAAATAAAATAGAAGACCTTTTGTTCCTGAAAAGGAGGTAAAAGAACGAAGCACTCACTGTGAGGTTGTCCCTAAGCAGCTGCATGATGAGGGTGCTGTCTTTGTAAGAGTCTTCATTCAGTGTATCGAGTTCTGCGATGGCCTCATCAAAAGCCTGGTAAAACAGCAATATCCATGTTCAACTATTGGCATCGACACAACCTGGCTCGTCTACAATTACAAACCATTTTTACAAAACAGGTTAAGTAAACATCCACTTCATGTTCTATTAACAATTAAGAACAAAACTCGATGGAATCATTTCCTCAGATTCTCAGCTTAAGAACTTATCATGGTAAGAAAAAGGAGGATATTTCCAAATAAAAATAATAGAAATCATCCCTGGATACCCAAGGAAATAAAATACCTAGACATTAAGTACTTGTTGTCTCAGATAAGCCTCACTAAAGAGGGTCTTCCCGCACGCCCTCCTTACCGTTTTAGCCAGTGTGCAGGCCAGCTCGGGGTTATTCAGGATCTCATAGTAGAAGACAGAGAAGTTAAGAGCCAGCCCCAAGCGAATCGGGTGGGTGGGCTGCATCTCCTTCTTGCTTATATCGAAAGCCTCTTGGTAAGCTCCTTGGGAATTATCTATCGTTTCTGTGAAGGCAAAAATAAAAATAAAAATAAAAAATAAATTTAAAAAAAACAGGAAACTGAAAACATCCATCCAGCATACAGCATATTAACACCTTGCCCATGTGCTGCTAGCTCTTGAAAGAACGACATTTTTCTCTGTAGCCTTCTTTTAAAACCATAGTAGCAAACCAAAACATTATTTTGTACTAGGTATTTAAAAACTACGTTATAATGTTGCTGGCTTATAATCAGCTTAATAAAAAAAATTAATATAGTACATCAGATTTTTCTATCACTGGGGCTCCAACAATTTTCTTCTTTCGTATCTTTTAATTTTATTGCTTGAAAATGCAGTAATTAAAAGTAATTTGGAGGGTGGTTCGAGACCCAAGGGTGCTCACCAGCCCTTTAAAAAATAGTAATAATAATTTGACTGGTATATGCCAATAATATCTTAATAAAGCTGAGGGAAAAACTGGCTATAATAAATACTTCTCAAAATAATGAAAAACACTTTATAAAGATCGCCACCATCAAATCTCTATTTTTGTGACTTATTTATAAAAACAATACTGATCCTTGGTATCAAAATGCATTACGTGAAAAGCAATACAAAAGTGCCACCATATAGAACAAAATCTGCTGACTAGAGTTTGATGATTGGCTTAATAAAAATGTCACCTTCCTGGCAAAAAAAGCTCAGCAAGGATTACCAACACTGATCTGATTATACCCATGTTTTGAAAAGGGTAGGTTTTCTGAATGAGGCCGTTGGCCCGTTACAGCTTTGGAAACGCTGACCGAACAGAAACCAGAGTGTCCCTGTGCAGCCTGAAGGCGTGCATCACCCCTCCTCTGAAACGGCACGTGTGAGGATGGGAACGCGGCTGCTCGGCCCCCGCGCTACGGGGCGCTGGCTGCCGGGCTAGCTGGCTGGCTGGCACTTAGGGAGGCACCACAGTGAGCAAAGGCCTCAGCTCCTGGACGGCGAACACCAGCGGTCTCCTGGCCCCCGGCCGGAGCCGTGTGTTATGCACAGGACCAGGGAAAGACAGGAAGCCAGAAGGGGAGGACTCGGAGGCACGCCGGGCCGACTCACTGATGTCGAGTGTTCAGTTCCGTCACATTCAATTTTGCTTATTTTTATGGCAACAGGGATTTCACACCAATAACACACTAAGTTTAGTATACAAATTTTGTTACAACAGGGTAACAAAATTTTCCCTTGGCCTCTCATTAAGCTGATACTTGGGTGGTAAAACTGTCTCACTTTCAGTCAGTAATTCTGTGGGGGTACACCTTTTTACAGACCAGGCAAAACTGAGAATAATAGGCTTATTGGGAAAAAATAAGGAGTTAAGTGGTACTTCTACCTAGAACTTGCTGGTAGCAGAAACACACACAAAACTTAATGGGATCTACATTATACTCTGCTATCAGCACTCCAAGAGAATGAGTTCACTGCTACTTAATTTGATTTTTCCAACAAGCATGCTAGGCAATTCGGTTATTACTCTTTTTCCCAAGTCTACGTCTTTTGGTAAATTATATGCCAGCAATAATGCTCTCATTTCACCTCTCTTCAGAACTGTGGATATAGGTAATCAGTAGTCAATGTTATGATCCTACAAAAATAGTATTTAATAGTTAACATGTTAAACAGAAAAAACATACCCCGTTTCTATAACATAACGAGCTCACTCAAACCATATGCAAAGGGTGCTGGGGCTAAAAATGTGCTGAGCCACATTCCAAAGCATAAGAGATAAAGCCAGTTTTTGGTATCTTAACAGAGTATAATCAGAAAGTTTATGAGGGTATCTTTATTGATTTTTTTTTTTAAGAGAAAGAGGAAGAGGGGTGGGGAGACAAAGAGAGCAGGAGAGAGAAAACATCTATGCGAGACACACCCTGACCAAGGATCAAATCCGCAACACAGGCATGTGCCCTGAATGGGAATCAAACCCGCAACCTTTTGGCGTACAGAACGATGCTCTGTATACCGGGCCAGGGCTATGAATTTACTTTTGTAAATAGAACAAATAATGTAAACTCATGACTATATTTTCATTTTTGAGAATGTAAGGTAACTATTTTCTTTATACACAGATTCCGAAGTGTTTCTCCAAGTTAGAAAAGGCCTCTGACTACCCAGAGACCACTGCCACAGCCCCCCATCCACCTCCCTTCCATTCCACATTCTAGCTTTACCTGTAAACCAAATACACTTACGTTTTCGATCATCACCACATGCAACTTCAGCCAGGTACCGGAAGTAATCTCCCTTCATTTTCAGATAGAAGACCTTACTCTCTGGATTAGTTGCGTTGGCTATTAAATACTTATCCAGCAATTCCTGAAAGAAAGAAAAGAAAGCATCAGGCATGAGCAGGAGGCCATTAGCACAGTCAAGAGCCCCCAAGGACAGGCAGGCAATCATCAGCGGCCCCGGCAAGCGCGCCGCGCCGCGCCACTGCAGGCCTTGCGGCGCAGGCTGAGAGCCGGGGTCGGGCGGACGCCCTGGCTCACACCCACCGCTCGCTGGAAAGCGCCTGTCTGTCCGCTCATGCGTTCACTCAGCAAGCACTTCCTCACGCTCGCTAGTGCCAGGCACTGTATGTGACCAAAAGGGGTGTACAGAAGACGCGAGGTAAGGTCCTTGACCTCAAAATACGAAAGGTTCAATACGAAAAGGGGTAAGTATACCATTCGATGTGCGCCAGGCAGTACAAGTTACGCGAGTCCAGGGCTGGGGACGCAGAGCAGCATATATGGCTCTGCAGGGGACGGCCAGGGGTTGGACAGGCTTCCCTGGGAAGGAGATCCGACTCCTCAGAAGGAACAGCAGGAACACAGCCTCTAGAAGGCCTGTCTGTGCAGTTGTTTGAGGAGAGGAACCAGAACAGCACAACTGCAGAACAAGTCGGTCTCCGTGGCCTGGAGCCGGGCTACGCAGTGTCCCCCACAGACCAGTGCCCGGCCAAATCCAGGGGCGCCCCAGGGGTCGAGAGTAAGTGGCCCAGAAAGCTGGACAAGTATGTCTACTAAATAGAGACATATCCTTAAAAATATATATAAATATATATATTTTCTAAATTTTTAACATTGTGTTATTATTTAAATATATCTTTTAGCCTCTCATACAAAGATACGTGCACTTGATCCAATGAGCTGGTGCTTCGGAAATTAAGGCATTTGTAGAAGGTGTGCGCCTGGAAGTATAGAAGGTCATGAAGACAAACATGACAGCTATCTTCTGGGACCATCAATTTTACTAGATGCTACGTAATTTTAAAACCTTGTTGAATTTAAAAATATTACAAAGTAGATACAATAAAATTCTCACAGAAAATCTAAGATGGTGGCACCTACACCTCTTAGGCTTGTTTTGGGAGTGAAAACAGTAAACAGACGTAGAAGAAGAGGACGGACCCTCCCCTGAGTGCTCAGCGTTAGTGATGATTTCTCAGCCAGGTGCCCGCTCTCCTACTGAAATGCCAAGTTCGAGAAGCACCAATCTAGGCAAAGGGAAGCTACTCAGAAAACATAAGCAAGGAACAGACATATGATTATATTTGCATTTTGGAAAAATGGCCACAGGTATTATCCGTTAACATGATGTAACAATGCCATCTAGGATACAAAATTGAGAAGTTTGCAGAATAACCCAGTGAGACTGTTTCAAAGTCTCATAAGTCTATAGCTTAAGAAGTAAAAGGTTGTTTACAGATAAGAGAAAGTTTAGAAAATGTGGTTCTTGTTTATCTGATTAAAAATGGCCTAAACACAATGATTACGTAAGTTATTTTACAGGAAATAAACAGAAAAACATTTAAAATGTTCTAAATCTTTAAATCTAATTTTTAAAAAATGTTTAGGTTAGAAGTACTATGTAAAGGGTCCAAAGCTCAGGGGAAGTTAAACTTAACGATTATAGTAATGTTGCATAACTAAGCCCCAGAAGTTGATGCATTATTTAAAGTGGCAAGTGTCAAACCGTGGCTGACCCTGGCAGGCTGCCCGGCCAGGCCAACAGCGCTCGATGCCATTGGGGGCTGCAGCCAAACACGGAAGGCCACTGCGAGGTCAGACGCGGCTTCCTCACCGCCACACCCATAAGCGGAAAAAACAGCTGAAAGATCAGACTGTGATAATTCCTTCTGCTCAACCTCAATTTTTATAGGTATTAATAGGTATTTTAATTTTAATAGGTATTAACATGAACCCAGGGAACTCCCAGAATCTGGGAAAAGCATACTTCTCCCCCCTCTAATACTGCTTTTATACCTAGTGAGACAGTCACAAAAAAGGTTGCTTGTTTCTAAATCTCAGACTGACTCCCAGTCATTGCTGTTCTTTTAAATTGTATTTTTCAATTACAATTTACATTCAATATTACTTAGTCATCACTATTTTTTAAAACATTAAACAAGAGCGGTCTCGGAGAAGCAGAACCAAATCATGCAAACACAGCACCCGCACTGTGGGAACCTCCACCACCATGCACACCCACACTAATGAGACCAGATCCCACAGAGGGGGTCCGGGGAGGCACCAGTTCTGCTGAAGACATTTCTAAGTCACCAAAAAGAGCTACCTGGTGGTACCTCTAAGACCTAGTGCTTTGTGATCAGACGTGGTGGCAGCGGCTGAGAGGCGCCTGACCGGAATGAGGTCTCGAGGTGAGAAGAGAGGGATCCACGCCAGTCCCCCCTGAGTCCCTCAAGCCAGACGGGGCGTTGTCCCGAGGACCGGCGTCGTCCCTGGCACGAGGCCTTCCAAGGACCGGGAGAGCTGCCAGATGGCACCCTCGATGCTCACTGCAAGCCTCTCTTTCTAAAACTGTTAACTTTGATTCCTGGTTTGCATACAGCCATTCTGTACGACTGACAGCACTGGCTTTTATAAAGTGGCTTGAGCGTCACTTCCACCCTGGAGGTCAGCCAGGTGGCACGGTTTTTTGTCACATGCCACCAGCTCTCTGTGAAGTAACCGACAGGTACAGTGTAACCGTGTCTTTCCACAGGCGATCAATAGCAGAGATCCATTTCTGCCCAATCAAAGACAGTGGATTCTGCTGCATGTCTTACTGAAATCATCATAGTTGTATCAGGTGTCCCAACACTGGTATTATTCATGCCAAAGAGAACAAAGGCGGTAAATACTTAAGGTATACAGCCTAGGCGTGCAACTATTTGTTAAAAAAAAAAAGAAAGAAAGAAAGAAAGAAAGAAAAGAAAAGTCTCAATGAAGACCAAAGAGAAAAACACAGAATGGTAAGTAGCTCCCTGAATAAGAAAATCTTTCCATGTAAGGTAAAACGCCAGGACAGAGGAATCTGTTTTAACATTTACATATTTAAAAGTTCCCCCACGAATTTCTCCAGTACATTATTCCTATCAATTAAGCAGGAGTGACCCCTTGTAACTTGTCACCAGCTAATGTATGACCCTGGGTGGCCTCCGAGAGCCAAGCCCCGGGCTCCCCTGGCGTGGACGCTGTTGCTGACCGAGGGACAGAGGGCGGGCAGTGAGCTCCTTTCCGGGAATCCGGGAGATCTGAGGATGGCAGAGGACTTCCTCCCGCGATTCAGAAGATGGGCTAGGAACCAAGGACGCCCTAGACCAAAAACACCCAACTGCAAGCCAAGTCAGGGGAGGGAGCGTGAGTTGTCACACTGGCCACTCTAGGAGGGACCCAGCAGTGAAGCCATGCTACTGGGAGCTTTGAACTGTTTTTTTACACAAAAGAAGTCACCTAAATGTCAAATGAACAAATACTAATCTAGCCAATCAACTGTACATCATAATCCTTTTTATAACTAATATTGTATGAGTCCTTAACCATCCTAATATGAAATTAGGTGATTAATATACACACAATTTAAAACGTACATTAATGTCCTAATTAAGATATACGGAGAAATAAAATTTGTAATAAAACATTGTGCATGAGATTCAATATGTAATGCCCACATGTCTCAAGTGTTAAGCACTCTCTAGCCAGGTGTTTGCCTCTAAGAATCGCCATGGACGCCAAGAACCTTCGAACGCAGACTTGCACAGTCTGCTCATCTACCATGAACAGCTGACCAGTCAGGTTACTAAAAAACAAAGTACAATCTGATTTTACACGGTTGCTGCAGTCCTGGTTAATTTTGTATGCATTAAAAAAACCATTAAAGAAAAGCTTTGTGTTTATGTGTTAAACAGGTTTGGCTGCGGATAAAGGTAAGTTTCTGCCGAAATGCCTGGACAGCTGGACAGCGCACTACACAGGACTGAGGGCGTCTCAGCCACTGATCCTTGTCGGCCCGAAGTCAGCAAAGCCCTCCCCACGCCTGTTCAGAACCACTGAGGGGGTCGAAGGGACGCACACAAGTCCTTGGGAGCGCGAATGAGAAAAGATCTTGTTAAGCAACTGGAAGAGTTTTTGTTAAGAAGGCACCAAGCGAGCCATGTCTTAACAGGTAAAACAGAACTTTACGAATAGGCGGAGTGCAGGGGAGGAAGACATTCCATGATAGAGGGACGGTGGCACAGGAAAAGACCCACGTGCACAACAGGGAGGAAGTCACTGAAGATGGTAATCTTTCTAAACGAAAACTCTCCCCAAGTCACCAAGAGTACATTTAAAAAGGCACCAAATTTCATCATATCCACCGTGAATTATTTACATCCAAACACCTCAAAATACTGTGTGCTGGACCAATAACCTGGTTCTAGAGTCTGACTAGACTAAGATCCTTAATTTCCTCTTCTATAAAATAAAAAATTTCCAAGTCTTTAGTAATCGGTGCTAATTCTAAGGTACTAAATCAAAAGATCAACCTGTTAAGCAGATCCACTTTAGGTTAAAAGGCTCCCTTTGTGTTTTCCATTTACAGCACAGCGTAGGTGGCGTGTCAAGCACCTGGCACAGCGCCTACCGCAGGTGAGACCTGTCTGCACGGCACGGCAGCCCACCGAGGGGGGACAACAGCGACGAATTCAGCCCTTTCCCTGAGTTACTTGCTTTTTGAATTCTTCACTTTTTATCAAAGCAATAACATGCATAGTTAACCGCCACTCTAACCATTTCTAACAAAAAATCTCCCCATTCTGTTCTCTCACTGTTTTGCTCCTTCAGCGAAGTTGTTTTTGGAAAAATCATTACCTCGTACCTGTATCTTCAATTCAAATTTAACACCACAGGATTCTCTCTTATTCATATCTTCTCTGCACACACAGTAAGATTCTGTTTCCAATTTAAATAGTAAGTAACAAATGAACACCAACATCGCACACAATTCGAAAGTAATAAACCAAGTTTCTCCCCCTTTCCTGGGTCCTTACAGCCGTCCAGCCCGTCCCCTCC